GCCACTCCTAGCGATATGTGCTGTGAAATGCGTCCACATCAAGGGGGAGATAAGATGGTCAGAAATGTACAGCTCAACGGAAGTGTTTAAAATTCTACAATAATCCTTTCATGATTTGTGAGTTTCTCTTAATTTTTACGTTAGAACCTCAGAAATACTTATAATAATCCATTTTCTAGGTTATGTAACGAATCAAGGACAGATTTAGAGAATAATTTGCATTCTAGCACGTCAATTCTTATGCGCAAATCGGAGAGATTGCTTATCATAGACAGAACTATGCATTTGCATACAATAAACATTGATTATCTGAAACTTTCATACAAAGTAACACTGTAAATTGTGCTATAATCAAACATAACCTCAAAAGTAGGTTTTAGGACTTGAGAAATGATTATTTTAAAAACTTTCTGAACGATTTCGACGCTGTATCAGCAATGTTGAGTTGATTTTGTGATCTAGAAAACTTCCAAACGGGGTATTTAAAGTTTTCTTATTAATACTTTGAGGTTATGGTCAGACAAACACCCAAAAAAGCGGTAATGATTGCATTTTTACAGAAATATCGAATGGAAACTTAAGAGATTCATTATAATTTGGAAATTATTGTGCAAATCGCCGAAAAAATCATATGCTGGAAGTGTTTAGAAGTGATGTACAGATTGAAGGCATATTATCTCCCCCTTGATCCCCATCGCAATGTCACTGTGTATCAATAAATGCAGGATGAAAAGATATTTCAGGAGAGGAATAGTGAACAGTGACACAGGATGTGCAGAATTGAGAAGCTCATAGAATGTAAATTGACTTTTCTCCACTATTCATCAATTTGGAAACGAAAGAAGTCATTCAGTTTGCTACAAAATGTCACTGAAATCAGTCGCTGTTTATCTTAGAATAAGATAAAATACATTGTATGTAAGTTGAGTCAAATAAACACATTTTATCGGAGCTTATCAACAAGCTCCCGATAATCGCTAACTATACAAAATAGGAATATTTCTCTGTTTCTCACACTCCAACTGAATTTGAGGCGGGATTTATCCCAGGATCAACTCTGTTGTGATTTCTCTTGACATCATTTTCTATAGCAATAATATTTTTTGACCCTTAAAATCTCTGGAAAAACCCCCAGAAAATGTCTTTTCCGTCCTGAGAAACCATATAAATCTGCTTTAAATTTCAAAATGTGTATTCTGTGCAATAAAATAAATTTATAAAGCCCTCCAAGAGACAGAAGCGCGCCTTTCATTTGCCGAGGAACAGGTGTTGAGCAGGCGAAGGCTTTTTTGTGTATATTATTTGCTGTAATTTTGTTGTCTCCTCGTCTGGAAAAAGTACTCCACATGCTGCTTGGGTATGTCAAGGAGTGTCTTCAAAATGTTCCGCATCTCCTCATCACTCCATATGCTCGCCTTCGTGCCACATGAGATCCCCATAAATTCCCAATAATTCCCCCATTTCGCGTTCTAGTGGCCTCGAGAGCGCCTCATTAATGGGGAATGCCGAAGAATTTGAGCCATGATTTTCGTTACGAAACTTGCGAAAATGATAAAAAAGTGGCTCGCAGATTATTTTCATTAAAGACTTTCGCAGGTTCAGCTTTAAAAGACACGCACTTGGCGCTTCTTTTATTTGATTTTCTGCCTCCAAATGGCAAAATCATAAAGAGTTCAACCACACACAAGTGAAGTTCCTCTATTCCTCTCTCTCTCTCTCTCTCTCTCTTCACCTCGAGGTGGAGTAAAATTTCTTGTAAAACACAATGTGACTGGGTATTGTGAAGTATGTATATTGTTGGATGTGTTGTATAAATTCAATATGAAAGTGTCATTTCACCATCTGTTCGATCGACATCAATTTCCTCAGTTATTCATCGACGGATTCGCAGTGCGATTGAATGGAAACCATGGGGAAAATGTTGGAAAATATTTTCTTCAAATAAAATCACTTACATTCATGAATCTGCAGAGGAAATTCTGCGTATTTAGCCAAGAAATGTGGTTTGGCTGGGCGTCATTCATGCCGGCATGAATCATTGTGGCCAAAGTCAATGGAAAAGGCCTCAATATATTCTCAATTGTCAAGCGATTCGTAAAATTGTGTCTGAAGCATGTTCGCTTGTGTGGCTCAACCCTAACCTTCCATACCGTCTAAGAATTATTCACACGCAATTCACCGATTCATAAATTGATGATAATTGCCCTCCCGAGCATAGATTTATCAATAACACACGCATTGTCTTCTCCATGTTTGCTCAATAGAACACCCGCAAGAATATTTCACACAAATTAATTCCTCTCAACACAGAAGAGCAAGAAGTCTTCTCACCACACAAAATAATTGAGAGATTGTTGGATGTTGTTTTTTCTTCTGTACCACGAGAGTATCTCATCAATTTGCCCAGCTAATTTGATGATGATTAAGCAAGAAAGGTGAATTATGTCCACACCATTCTTTTCACGAATGATTTATTAAAAAGCTCCGCGCTCTCACCCTTCTTCCGGGCCACTGCTTAGGCATTCCTAATTAAAAGCTCCATTTCAGAGAAACCCTCTCGCGCGCGCCACCCCTTTATTTATTTATAAATTTCATTCACCAGTCTTTCCGCTAATTCCCATTTTCTCAGATTTCACTCACAACATGTGACATTCGTCAGGGGGTGAACAGAACCACGGTTTTTGCCAACATTTTATGCCAAAAAAAATAAGAATATCATATTTCAGCATGCAAAATCCGACCTGGAACTGCCAGAAATTTGAAGAAAATGCACATAATAAGATATAATTTAATGTTCATTTAATTTAATGAAAAAACTAGCGTGCAATCAAGTTTAACTAAGAATAAATGCCATGCTTTTCACCCCCCGCCAATGCAACATCTTGAGAGCGACCTTTTAAAATATTTCTCATGTTTTTCCCCAATATTTCGAATCGAATATTCTTGTAAACAAGTGCCAATTTCCATCTTTCCGGCAGATGTTTTTCAGCCAATCCAGTCATTGATTAAATCGGAACGGCGGAGAGGAAAAAAAATACGCCAAGACAGTGTGGATGTCTGCCAATTGGCATCTGAAATTTCATTGACAATTATTGGGATTATTTCGGGACGCGCGAGAGGAGATAATCGAGTCAAAACAACCGAAATCAGCAGCATTTGGAGATTTAAATGCCATGGCAAATTAATTGGCACTTTCTGTGCGCACTTTGGGCTTTGGCTTTCGAGAGAATTCGCTCGGTGAGATGGAGAAACCGGTATTTGAGCATCTCTTGTGTGTACACAGAGAGCTGGAGAATGCTAAGTTGCCCTGGAAGATGGTGAAAGAGTGAGAGATCATTGAGCTCTATTCTATGTTAAATGCCTAACAGTTTATCCCCACGAAGACAACCTGTGAAATTCTCCACACTCGCGCTCACTTCCTGGCCTTTCCACGCCTCAGTGGCTCTTCCCAGATCTCTCTCTCTCTCCCCCAGGAGGCTCTGCGTTTGCCAATGTGTCTCCTGATTGCGTATTTCCAGCCGGTGATCTCACCTCTTTGACACGGCCGAACTTTTTGCTGCTATTGTCTCTCACCCAAGCAGTGCCACAGCGAGGGAAATGAGCTAAGAAACTCGCTCCACTGATTGCCAAAACGTGCTTTCGCGGCACTGTATCGATTTTTGATACGTGCGTTCGAATTGTGGCCACTGCTGAGCAACTGTGCAGCAACTGCTGTGTGCCACACTCTCACCCCCGCGCGAGGCGTGCAGCCGAAAAGGCCACCGCGGGCCAAACTTCCCCCGGAAACTATTCGCATGTGTTTTGATCGATGACGCAATCCATTTTTATGGCGCCACCACTTTCAGCCCAGCAGACGCACACAAGATCAATAAACAAGAGATTCGGCGGAGGAAGGACTGTAAGATGACACTCACCGCCTCGGAGAATTCATCCTTGGGCGTCCTGGAGACTGTGACATCGTCCTCGTCCGAGTGGTGAGCCGTGGGAATAAATAGGGGCATCTCGCCAGCCAAATCGCACACACTTATCCAGCCAGTCTCCAATTTCAAGAACAAGAAAACAATATCACACGGAGATTGTTTGTCCACCGCGTTGAAAAAGAACCCCCCAAAAAAATCGCTGCAACCCGCTCTCGAAGTCGCAGAATTCAATGCCTCGCGATGCCACAGAACAGCGAGAGAACTGTTAAAATATCTTCAGCAAGACATCGAGTGGAGTCCCATCGGCAATAGACACTCTGAGACACAACACACGGTTTTCTCTCCCTCTCGACCTTATGTGTTTTAGCCCACAAAAATATGTGTGTTGCTTTTACACTTGTGTGCGTGGTAGATAAAAAAAAATATATACAGAAACCGAGAAACACAGAGAAAAACGAAAACGACAACAATTTTGGTCCCGACGTGCACCTTTTCACCGGTCAAGCATTCAAGATATACTAAAGTTGGAGGCCCCACTGTCAATTGTGTTGACTTGCCACATACTCCAAACCGCCGCCGCCACATGCGTTCAATTTTCGTGGCGTTGATAGCAACGGCACATTCGCAACCAATTGAACGGACAGGGACGGCAGCATGTGTGGAGAGAAAGCCCTCTCTCTGCTCTTGAATTCTCATCTCACCGCGCCTCTCGCGAGCGAGCACGCCGGCCATAAATTATCTCACACGAAAGCGCGCATTCTCTCTCGCGCGCGCCGTTCCACCCGAGACGCACACCCGCCACAGTTATACTTCCCGCGCCATAATCTGAACTTCAAATTGAAAATCCCCAGCAACTCTCCAAGTGGGAGAGAGAGAGAGAGAGAGAGAGATTTTCATTTGTTTGTGTACTGCTCAAAGCGATCAATCTATCATCGATGAAAGACTGAACTTGGTATCAAGATTAAGACTCGTGACGCCACAGAATATCGGCCTTACCAACTTTGAATACAAAGATTTGGCCCACAATATCACTCAATGTCACTCAGTTTATTTCAAACGACGTTTTACAGATTTTTGGTATTACTTTGAACAAGAAACTGAATGCTTTTCCATTCTGTCTCTGTGACGATATTTTCTCCCACAAGTTGAACATTCGAAGCGTTTCTCAGCAATACGCATTGGGAGATTCGAATTCCTGTGAAAGCTCCCAATATGATATAGCAAATTCTCCACCGTTGAGAAGCTCTTTTGGCAAATTTCACATGTGCGATTTCTTGAATGAATTTCCACATGTTTCTTCAGCTCATCCAATGTCTCATAGAGATCTTTACAAACACTGCATTTGAAAGGAGGCCCTAAGAGAAATTGTGTAAATTCATTGTGCAGTAAATAACTCTAAAGACTCACCTGTTATATTCAAATTAAGACCGCGATGAGAAATCCTTACATGAAATACAAGAGTGTTCTTCCTATCGAAAGTCTCCGGACAGTAAGGACACTTTCTGTCGTTTCCCTCTAAAGTCTGATGACTTTTCATGTGGTCTCTAAAGGCACCCACCGAGACTCTCTTCGAGCAAATTAAGCAATCCTTTGTAGGACCTCTCAATTTCAAATGAATCCTCTCGACGTGTGCTTCCAAATAATCCTTCTTACTAAACGTATAGTTACAAATTGCGCACTCATAGCGCTTTCTTTGGCGTTTCTCACGTTTGTGAATTGTCACGTGCATCTTCAGTTCGTCAAAATTTGCAAATTTCGCCTTGCAAACTGTACACGAAGGCTCAGCGCCTGCAAAGAAATCGTCACTCTGCTGAATAATTCTATACATTCGACATAAGTCAATAAACTTACCCTCATCCAGAGGAAGTCCTCTGTGCGCATAATCAATGTGCCTTGCATAATTTGGTCTCTTGTTAAATGAGCTGATGCAATAAAGACACTTCAGAGGTTCGACTAATGAAAAATGAGTTTTCCTATGCTGAGTCAGTCGATTTCTCCGTTTGTATGTCTTACTGCAAATGTCGCAATCAAAGACTTCCTGCGGTTTTTCTAGCTTAACATGCGAAATCAAATATTTGCTGACCAATTTTGCATTGGCGAGTTTTCCATGACGCTTCTTTTGATGATCACGAAGCCTCCAAGGATTCCTAAACACTTTCCCACAAATTGGACACTGTTCAGGCATTGTAATATGACTTCTCACGTGTTCTAGAAGTGAATTCTTGATTTTGAACTTCTTCGAGCAGAAAGCACACTCAAAATTCCTCTCAGTTGAGTGAACTTGAGCCATGTGTCGCTTTAATCCTGTTCGTGTTTTGAAATCCTTCTCACAAATCTCACACACTCTAGAATCATTGTGAGTTTGCAGATGTCTCGTGAAGCCACACTTGGCCACACAGGTTTTCTCGCAAAAAGGACAGTGAAAAATCTCCTTTTTCGTTACTTCCGGTACTCCCAGAGTTGCAAAGCCTTCGATGGCCTCATTCTTCACAAGAGATTCCCTGAAAAAGCGACAAACCTTCAGCTTCTTCAGCAAAAAGAACTCATTGTCTATTGTCATACTTTTTCATGTAAGGAACGTCAACTTCTTGCACTTCAAACTCTTCTTTGACAATATTTAAGTCAGGGAACTGATTTTCCGTCTTATATTCGCTGTAATCATAATCCGAATCCTCTTTTTCTACTTTTATTTCCCTGCACAAATCCATGCTTTCCTGCAATTTGTTTGTTTACCTTTTTGACATTTGGTTCGGTGTGAAGTTTGCAGCATGATTTGAAATCCAACGATTTTCAGTTTATAATTCAATTTTTGTAAAAGAAGTAAAATATATTTGATTACGGATAAATTTTCACAATATTCACATGTTCGACTCTTAACATGACATTTTCATACACACAGTACAAAGAATGCTTCCATAAAATGCTGTCTTTTGGCGAAATCAATTCTTATGATGACATTTCTCAGCATGAGCTTTCGCTTGACTCTTCAAATTAAAGCTCTTTCCGCAAATATCACAATGCTCCTTATGAATTGAGACATGTTCCTTCAGTCCTTCAAAGTTCTGGAAATTCTCCTTGCAAACAGTGCATTTGAAGGGAGGCTCTAAATCCAGAGACAAGATTAGCAGATTAAACACATTTATAATCGTCATTTCACAAACCTGTGGCATTGATTGATAAACCACGATGATTTGTTGCCACATGAATTCGTAGCTTTCGTTTATCATCGAACTCTTCTGCACAATAAAAGCACTTTCTGGCATTTCCCACTAAAGTCTCATGTTCCTCCATGTGACGCTTCAGTGAATTCTCAAACTTGAAGCTCTTCGTGCATATTTCACACGCGAAAACCTTTTGGGAATTGTGCGTGTTCATGTGACACTTTAAATTCCACACACCACTAAATGTCTTCCAGCACAGCGTGCATTGGCTCTTTTCCTTCTTGGCGTTTGGCAATTTCAAGTGGACCGCTTGCAAATGTCCCTTCAATTCACTCTTGTAGCAATATTTCATGCCACAAGTTGCGCACTCGAAGCGTTTCTCGAGTTTGTGAATCTTCACATGAACGATCAAATCCTCCAAACTCGGGAAGATTTCCTTGCAAACTGTGCACGAAGGAATTGATGCTGAAAAGAGGAGAAATTAGGCATACAATCCGACTAAATGGTGTGATTAGAGAGCTTACCAGCAGACTTAGGAAGGCCTCTGTGCTTCAGTTGTATGTGCGAATCTAGATACTTCACAGCCTTTCTGCAGTAGAAACACTCAACTTTCTCAGCAGGAAAATGCCTGTTTCTGTGGTTGTCCAGGAGATGCTTCAATCTGAATGTCTTATTGCAAATATCGCAAGCAAATGGCCTCTCCAGAGTGTGAATGCTCATGTGCGTCTTCAGCTTGTACTTCTCCCTGAACTTCTGATGGCAAATCTCGCACTCGAAGCTCTTGATTTGCTCCTTGTGAATCTCCGTGTGTCGATCGTGCAGGAATTGCGTCTTGAAGGCTTTTCCGCACACTTGACAAACCACAGGCTTCTGCAGACCATTGAATTCATGCTCGTACTTCACATGATATTGCAGACTTCTGGCATTCTTCAGCATCTTTCCACAAATCGCACACGGACGCGGTTTCTCCGTGTGAACCTTCATGTGCTTCGCCACAGCTTCTCTGGTCTTGAATTTCTTCGGACAATACGAACACGGAACAGTTCTCTGGCTAAAGTGCGACGTGATGTGCTTCTGCAGAAGGGATGCGAGGGTGAAATTCTTCTCGCAAATGTTGCATTTGTAGGGTTTGTGAGGATTGTGGCTTCTGAAATGTGCTCCCAAATAGCTTGACTTGGCAAATGTCCTCGCGCACACTGAACACTTGAACTTTTTCTCCTCACTCTCTGCCTTTGGGTACTCCGTGATCTCGTAGCTGACGATGTTCCTCACGGCGCCCTCAATCTGCGCAGGCAGCTTTCTTAGCATGAAAAAAAGGAGAGACTTTAGAAATTGAAAGATTGGAAGGTTATCAACATACTTTTCCACAAAACACTCCGAAGCATCTTGTATCTCGTACTCTTCCTTCACGATATCACAATCAATGAATTGATCTTCCGCAGAAGGATACTCAGAATCCTCTGGTTCTTCTTTTATGTCCCTCACATCCATTCTTCAGCACTCTTTGCCACTTTTTGCACTTCTTGACGTGCACTTCTGAGTGAAGTTTGCCGCAAAACGCACGCGCCGCACGAAAATTTTATGGTTTGATTTTATGAATGAATGGAAGGAATTGAATTCCTTTTCCAACACTTTTTACTTCTTTTACTGTTTTTATTTCACACCAAAAACAGCTGTTATTGTTAGTCAAATGCATACTGAAATCCAAATCCGTTATAATTCACTGTTTATTCATTCTTTTCTTTTCTTATCATTTCCTTGGGAAAAGAGTAATTATAAACCTACAAGAAATAAAATGCTCTGGCAAATATCACAATAGATGGTCTCCTTCTTCGTCCTAAGATGTTCAATCAACTCGGAAATTCTGAAGAAAATCTTCTGACAGGCTGTGCAAGTGAAGGGCATATCTGTATCAAGGTAATAAGTATTGTAAACATTAAGATTTTACCACACAAAAATACTTTACCGGGTTTAGTGCCACAGGTTGCACACGTGAATTTTCTCTGTCTGTGTTTGTTGGCCAACTTGTGGGTTAATTGATGTTTCGAGATGCATTTGAATGCTTTTGTATTTTGGGCTAGAATTGCTGTTCCATTTGGCGGCCCTCTTAGACGTTGAATCGTCTTGTGTTCCTTCGGAGACTTTACGATTTTCTCATGTCGTGACATGTGTTTATTATATGTAAAAGATGTGCAAATCGCTCCACAAATGTGGCAAGTCAATGGCATCGCCAATTCCGTAAAACGCCTCTTTTCCAATTCATGATTCTCAAGACAATCATCCACTTCTTTTGTGGTCCCTTTCATCTTCTTACAAACGGAGCAATAATAAAGCAACGGAGGCGACAGGAACTGATTGTTGGGCACTTCGCTGTGAAATTGCTTGATGTGCCTGGAAAGGTTGTCTTGGCGCGCATAAGCCTCATGACACACCGGACACTTAATCTTCTCTCTGAAAGTGTGGACAGTCCTGTTGTGTCTCTTCAGTTCTTCAGTGCGACGATTAACATTGGCTTTGTCCAGTGTCTCATTGCATATTAAACGTCTGAAGGGCCTTTTAGGCTTTTTCACTCTGTTCTCTGACGCTCGTGGAGAATCCTCGGAAATCTCGGTGATCTCAAAACTCACTGGAGCCACGATAATTTTCCTGGAAGTGCGGCAAGACGTGAGCCAATGGGTCAAATGGTGGAAGAAAATGTACAGCAAATATACCTTTGAGTTTGAGTCCTTTGAGCAACGGTTTCTCTGAATTCTTGCAACTCATACTCTTCCTTGACAATATTACAATCAATAAAGCAATCTTCAGTGTCATAATTGTAATCAGATTCCTCTTTTCTCACGCGATTCATGCTGTTTCTCACGATTTTTTAACTTTGACATCGTGTGACGTCGCAACGATGTGAAGTTCATGATATTTCACCATAAAACACAGAAATATATTGCCAACTTCACACTACAAACACACCAATAAACGTCAAAAGAAAGCCAGAGACAAGCAAAAGTGCTGAAGTAGAAATATGGATATAAAACAGGAAAAGGAAGATTATTATAGTGCTTGTGAGGCTGAGGATAAGCTCCAAGGCATCACGGCGTCCAATGCTGAAGAGTATTGCATTGAAGATCATCAGATTTCTTAGATTTCGCCTATTAATTTGCATTTCTTTTCCAGGAAATTTACTGTTAAGAGTGAGGAGATTGACAATTTCAACACTGCTGAGTATTCAAGTTTATTTGTAAAGAAAGAGCCTTTCCAGTGTTCAATTTGTGGGAGGGAATTTAAGAAGCGCAATGGACTGTCTCTACACTGGAAAACACACGACAAAAGGACAATTCACGATTGTTCAGTATGCAAAAAGGAATTCAGGACACCAACTGAACTGAGAACGCATATGAGTGAACATGCGAAGCAGAAGACAAATCAGTGTTCTTATTGTCCTATGAAATTCGCGCAAAAGGCTTATTTGGATCGGCATGAAGTGATTCACACGGAAAAGCCTCAACAGTGTCCTGTATGTAAGAAAATGCTGAAGAATTCAAACACCCTCAGAGCGCACATGAATCGACACACTCTGTACGAAACGATGTGCAAGGAAATGTCGGCTGAGGAGAATTATGATCAACATAGCAAGCCTGCCAAGTCCTTCGAGTGCGACGTTTGCCATCGCAGCTTCACAAAGGAGCGCACGCTAAAGGCTCACATGACTTTTCACACGATATTCAAGCCCTTCGCATGCGATCACTGCGATGAGACGTTCAAGTGGAAGCAGGAGCTTAAGATTCACGAAAGGATTCACTTCACTGGCGGCGTCAAGTGCATTTACTGCCAAAGAACTGTTAAGTTTCTGCACAAACACATGCAAAGTCAGCACAAAGGCCTCCCAAAGTCTGCTGGTGAGACATTAACAATAGAATTGGGATGCAGAAATTACATTCCACGCATGTTTTATTTGCAGGAACTGTTCCTTATTGCACAATTTGCAAGAAAAGCTTTCCGAATGTCGACACTTTGGTGGAGCACGTGAAGACGCATCAGCCCAAGAGGCGCTACGAGTGTGCAGATTGTGGCATGAGATTCAGCAACAAGAACGTCTTGGGGAAACACCTGCGAATAGGACATCTGAAAGTGACCACGACGACGAAGAAGAAGAAAAAGAAGTTGCTGCACAAGTGCGATATTTGCCTGAAGAGATTTGACGAATTGTACAAATTGAAGATGCATCGGAAGAAGCACAGTTCCCTGAAGCCATTCATTTGCGAATTGTGCAAAGGCAGATTCAATACACTGAAAGCATTGCAAATCCACATGGAGAATCATGAGATGCTCGAAGGCAGTGAGAAGATGTGCATTTATTGCACGCACGAGTCTGACACGAAACGAGCAATGAAGAAACACTTGCAGACACTTCATCGCGGACTTCCCCGCATTGTTACTGGTAAATATATTACATTAAACCCTTGCAAACTATTCATCTTCCTTCCGCCCATTCAGACTTTCCCTTCAAATGCACCGTTTGCCGGTCAATTTATAACAAATTGGACGATCTCAAGGATCACGTAAAGGATCATTCGGATGACTTCAAGTGCGAGATTTGCGGATTAATCTGTGCAACCAACGGACAGTTTAATGCACACGTAAGAACGATGCATAAGAATTCGAGCCTTGGCGATTGGGTGGTAAAATTCTAAATATTGTAAATGCAACGGAATAAAGAAGTCTGGCAAGAGCGAAGTATCTTTCTTAAAGTGTCGTTGCAACACTACAGATTTCACTTGGTAAAAATTATCAATTTAGTGTTGCAACTTTACGTTTTAGTAGGAATGAAATACGAACGAAAAGGCGTTGCAAGGCAAAGTTTAGAGTTTATTTAATGCGAATTTCAGTTGTCAAATGCAAATAATGAGTTTAAAAGGGCGAAATTGTGAATCTCAGACACAAGACAACTTCATCCGTGATTGTCCCTGACATTGGGCGTGTTTCCAATGGGATTCTTGAAGGATTTTGCTAGCCAGAATGCCCAGAAAGTCGCTTTTTCGTACTCACAAAGAAGGAACAGAAACCAAAATTACTTCTAAATGCTGTCTAAACGCAATTAGTTTGCGTGGAAAGGATCGAAGGACTTCTGGAAACACATAACCTCAATTTGATGTATTAAAATATGCTCAAATGGCCAGAAAAATCCAATTCTACAAAAAAAAACCATAAATATGATCTATTTTCTTGGTTTTCACGTGAATTTTCCGACTCTTCTTGTTTTCAGGCGATGAAATATATAAATTGACTTTCGTAAATGTTAAGAATCGCAATCTTGCAACGCCTTTTTACGAATTCATATTTTTGACAGCTTATTTTAAATGTTATGAAAATAAAGTTCCAACGATGCTTAAATTAGATTCTATTAAAGTGAAAAATACTCTGATTTTACTTACAAATTCCTTATATTTCAATTCAAAGAACAGCGATGGACAGAATTCTCCCAAGGAACTCCAATTAAAGCAATTTTGTGATGATCATCTCTTCTTGCGCTTCTTCAGTCTCTCTGATTGTCGTCTCTTCGCCACGCACTTCATTGCGTGCACCTTCAATGGATACCTTCGGTCGAATTTCTTCCCACAAATTGAACACTCGAAGCATTTCTCCAGAATCACTTTCGGCAAATTGGAGTCTCTGTGTTGAGAGCCAACGTGGAGTTTCAGGTTGTATCTGGCCTTGAAGGTCTGCTTGCAAATGCCGCACGTGAGGAATTTCCTGTGTTCCTTCACGTGCTCCTTCAGATCGTTCATCGTCAGATAGTCTTCGCGGCAAATTGCACACCTGAACGGCGGTCCGGCGGTGTTGAGCGGCAATCCAGGATGCTTCAGTCTCACGTGCTTCCGCATTGTGCTCTTGTCGTCGTAACACTTCGTGCAGTAGAAGCACTTCTTGGCACTTCCCTTCAACACTTCATGCTCCTCCATGTGACTCTTCACCGAATCGATGAACTTGAACTTTCTGTTGCACACTTTGCAGGGAAACGGTTTGGTTTTGCTGTGCGCTTGCAAATGTCTCTGCAGATTGTATTTGTAGTTGAAGGTCTTCTGGCAAACATCGCACTTGTGCTTGTCCTCAGAATCCTTCTTATGCATATGGAAATTCTCCATGTGTCGCTGCAGAGCATATTTCTTGCGTACTTTTACGCCACACAATGCGCATATGAAGCACTGTTGGAACTTGTGTATCTTCGTGTGCGCCATCAATTCTGTCATGCTCTGAAAGTGTTTCTTGCAAATTGTGCACGAAGCATCGGAACCTGAAAGAGATGCGCAAGATTTATTACCAGAATCTCTCTGTGTTAAGTGAGCTTTTCCCGAGAATCTTACCACCCTTCCTAGGCAGACCTCTGTGGACATTCGCCAGGTGCATCTGCAATCCATAGCCAGTGTTGAAGATCTTCTTGCAATAGAGACAATTTCGGGGCTCAGGATTGTGAATCAATTTGTGACGCTTCAGCAGGAAGCTCGAATGGAATGCCTTGTTGCAGACATCGCAGACATAGGGCTTCTCCGTGCCGTGCGTTAACATGTGTATCCTCAGCTTGTCTCTTCTGTCATACTTCCAGTGGCACGTTTCGCACTCGTAAACCTTGCGCGCCTTCGCCGGCTTACTGTGTCTCGCCATGTGTCGATCGTGGAAGTATTGGCAGGTGGAAATCCATCCGCACAAGTTGCAGAAGAATGCCATTCTCTCAAACACGAAATTCATATTCATTGTCTTCGGGGCGGAATTCTTGCTGGACACAAATTTCGGGTGATATTTCGCCACATGCTGGCGCAAAGTGAAATTCTGGCCCACAATGCACGAGCAGAAGGGACAGACGATCCTTCTGTCGTCCAGCGACTCGTGACTCTCGATGTGAACCGCGAGGGAATTGACGTAGGCAAATTCCTCCCGGCAAATTTGGCACACTAGCGGCGTCTTGGAACTCTGTCTCTGCAGAGTCTTCTTCAGATTGGTCAAGTAGTTGTTGCTCGATATCTTCTCCCTGCGGCCCTTCGACTTCAAATGAATCCTCTTCATGTGTCTCTTCACCAGATCTTTTTCCTCAAATCTCATGCCACATTCTGCACACTCCAGCTGACTCTCCTTCCCCGCTGCGCTGCATTCCTTGTGTCGAATCCTCACGTGATCCTCGAGACTCCGAGAGTTCCTCGCGACCACCTGACAAATTGGACACGATCGAGGTTTCTCCAAGTAACTCCGAATCCGCCTAAGCAGCGCCCGAAGACAATCTTTCTTCTCAACTCTTCTTTCGCAATCCTCCGTCTTAATTGTCTTCTCCACAGTTGAGCTTCCGCCCTGATCATTGTTATCTTGTGGCTCAGGATCAGGTGGTTCTTCCTTAATTATATTAACAATCTCACTCCTTGTCAAGACTTTCACTTTCCTTATGTTTACCACAGTGAATTTCCTGCAAAGAGCATTTGATTAGCCGTAAATTTCCACAAAACGTCATCATCTTACTTTTCGCCAGCATAATTCGGCACTCCTGGAATTTCATACTCTGCTTTCACAATCTCACAATCAACTGATGGTTTTTCAATCTTCACAGCCGTTTCAGCGTCGTAAAAATAACCAGAATCTTCCTTTTCTTCCTTTATCTCCATGTTTTTGCCGTCTGCATAGCAAAAAATGCACGCCGACTTGTTTACATTTTTGACGTCTTGCAAGACGTCAATTTTTATAGCGCAGTGAAGTTGGCTTCAAATGCTCTTTTAAAATATCATTCGTTATTACGATTGTATTTTAATACTGTATTTTCTTCAGAAATGCCTTCCAAATTCATTCCTTCAGTTTACTGCAACTGCTGTGCATTGAATAATGCAATTGGAAATGAGAATGTCTTTTAAACATTGCATTTCGACTGTTGTTTCTTGTCGAAAATCATTGTGCAGTGAAAGCAGCTTCAGTTTTTGGCACCTCTGCAAGAGTCAGATGAACATCAATGTGTGCTTTCTGCGTATCCGCAGAAAACTGCCCTGCGAAAGTGTGTCTCTTCAGATGTTTCTGCGGAAATGTTTCAGTCTTAAATGTTTTCAAGCAAATTGGACACACTTTTGTTCCTCTTTCGTCTCATTCTCTCGATTCAAGTGAATCATATCAATATGATATTTCAATTTGGATTTGTAGACAAATTTCGCACCACAAGTTGCACACTCGAAGCGTTTCTCCAGTTTATGAATCTTCACGTGATCGATCAATTCTTTTAGATTCTTGAATTTCGTATTGCAAACTGTGCAAACGGGAATTTTATCTGTGAAATAGAAACAATATCAGTGCCATACTCTTTCAGAATATCCTTTTACACTCACTTGATCTCTTAGGAAGTCCTCTGTGGTGAATAATCATGTGTTGATCGAAACTGGAATGTTGCCTGTAAGTTTTGGAGCAATAGAGACATTTCTTGGGCGGTTCGGTGAGAGGAACGTGACACTTTTTATGCCGAGTGAGGATTACTTTCGTCCTGAATGTCTTACTGCAGACATCGCAAGCAAATGGCTTCTCTGCACTGTGAGTGCTCATGTGATCCTTGAGCAACCAGCTTTTGCCGAACTCTCGATGGCAGATTTCACACTTAAAACTCCGCTCAATCTTCACATGAGTCGCCAAGTGTCGATGATAGTGATCACTTGAGTAGATCTTGCCACAGATGTGACAAGAAACTGGCTTTCGCAGTGCAATTTCACTGCCTCTGTGTTGATTTCTCATGTGTTTCTTCACTGCACGAGAATTCTTCAGAATCTTGTTGCAAATCGGACACGGCCGAGGCTTTTCCAGATGAAACGTGATATGCTCAAGAAGATTTCCCTTTCCCTTGAACGTCTTCGAGCAATAGGCACACTCAAAACTCCTCTCAGTGGCGTGAGTAGTGCTCAAATGCTTCTTCAGTTGAGACGCAATCTTAAAGCTAAATCCGCAAATCTCACAATTATGAACTTTCTTCTTGTCATGAGAGCTGTTCAAGTGTTTTGATAAGCCATTTCTTTTGCTAAATGTCCTCTGGCAAATTGGACACTTGTGTTCTGTCTTTTCTGATTTGATGGGTTTGATAACTTTAACATGATCAAATTCATGCTTGTTTACGGAAGATTCTCTGGAAAGTAAACAAAGATTAGCACAAGAAAAGAGGAAGATTTTCATATTTTATACCTCTCGTCGACAGGCTCTTCTTTAATGTCCTGAAGCGCATAGTTTTCCTTCACATTATCGCAGTTCACAAACAATGTCTCAGGCTGATATGAGTAATCGGGATCCTCTTTCTCAATTTTTATTTCCATCTTCAGCACAATTTGTTTACTTTCTTGACAATTTCACGCTTCGCACGTGTCATTTTCGATGTGAAGTTTGCCACAAATGCAACAATTCGTGTTGCGGCGAATTTATAGCGAAAAGCAACGGAAAATCTTTGCTCAATTTCCCCCATTAATGTTTTCATGTTACTGGAACGCAAATTAGCATGTATGTGAAGACCCATGAGTCATGCGGATTCACTTGGGGTCAACGGCTCGATGGAGAGTTGTGTGAAAAGACTGGACAATGTTATGAAATTGAAGTGACGAAAGGTGGTGAAAAGTGAATATTTTTGACCGATTTGGATCCGCTTTGGGAAGTCTGCAAAATCCGGCCACAATAATTGCGCCATTTCTTTCCACACTTGCTCAAATTGTGCCACAAATTGACTTCTTCTCACGTGGATTCCCATCAGCTGAGACACTTGGTGTCCCATGACCTACAAACATTGTATTGTTGTGCTGATAAAAAACGCGCAAAACCTTATCACACTCGCGCTCTCTTTATGTTAATTCCCGCGTGAACAATTCCGCGCGCCACGCGATCGGCTGATCGGAGTCTCTTTTTTTTTGCTATTACCCCCAAACTAGTAAAACAGCAAAACACGCGACTTGATTCTGCAAACACAAGTCTTGCCTAGCATTGATGATTTGGCAGAAAATAAGCATCTTCTGCACATCTTCACGCAATTCTTCTCCTGCGCCACTGAGCGTGTGACGCTTCCATGACGCAATATTGGCGCTCTTGACTGTCCAATTGAGAGATCATGTATCAATTTACAGCCCAATAAGTCAGTCATAGTTGTTATCAATTGGGGGATGTTTCGCACAGAAATACAACGTCAAAGACGTGAAGCAGCCTGAAAACACGGCCAAGCAACACACAAAATGGGTGGAAAATAAGCGCGACTTGAGTAAATAAAGTTTTACATGAATGTTTGTAAACACATCACGAGAATTTCGCATTGAATTCTCTCTCTCCATTGTGGTTATCACTGTGCGAAGAAGATCATTAACATCCCATCGCGCTAGTGACTTTATATAATAAAAGAACACTGAATATTTCCACTGAAAAACATGAGAAAATGAGCTGCCCGTGCTGATTTGGCATTGAATGTGATAAGATGAAATGGAATTAATATTAAAAGCGCCTCTGTCGCCTGCAATTACCACTGATATTGGCGGATGATATTGCGAAATTGCGATGAGAATTTCGGCGCCGAGCGAAAAGACCGAACAAAAGTGGATTTTCTGAGAAGGCAAAAGGCAGATTTCAAGTGGTTGTGTGTTGTGAAGACTGTGAGATTTCGCAATAATGCCGACAACTGATATCAAAGCTTATCAGACATTTACTCGGAGAATTCTCTAAGCGAACAAATTCATTGGAATTGAGAATGTAAATCAACATATTATGGAAAATCCTGCGATAATTGCCAAGAGCTCAAATTCATCTGAAAATTAAAACTCCTCAAATGGGCTTTCTTATCAGTTTTATCATTGTTCTCGATATTGAATTACTTCTTAGACTTCATTTCCATGGAGAATTTATGAAACAATACCCAAGAAATCATTTTCCATTAAGAGAATTCGCAGAATTTAATAATCTTATCATAGAAAATTTATGAGGGAAAAGCGACAAATTGTTCACTCTCTGTGTGTTTTTAGGGGAAAATCCTCATTGAAAGGTCAAGGACAGCGTGAAGAGTGAAAAGGAAAGTGTCTAACGGAATTTACGTGGATAATCGATGAATTTACGGAGTTGTCAATGGAATTCCCACACGGATTTCTTCACTACTCGCGTGCTTTTCCTTCAATGTCCATTTTTTTGTACTCCAACATGATTGATTGGTTCATTTGAGCGCTTCAGAGGCCGGATTTCTCTGTAATTCCAATGAATTTGCTCTCTTTCTCTCTCTTCGTCGCTCTCTTGAGAGCGGAAAATTCATGGTAATTGGAGAGTTTTCCGAATAGACACACTCAAAGTGCCAAATTGAATTTTCCTACAAACTTGCATAATTTCTGGTTAGCGAGAATTGAGTTGATTCCCAATGAAAATTCACAGTAAGTTCAGGGAAAACCAAAAATTTCCAATGACTTGAATGAATGCCAGACTTTTTTTCTTCCCACTTTGAATCATTTTTTCACATAAAAGCATTCTCACAAGTAAAATGTTGCCATAAAATATAACTCTGTGCGTGTGTGAATGAAGACTGATGAACCCAAACGATTTGTGCTTGGGGTCAAAGCATTAAAAGATGATTTTCCCCAGCATGGGAAATGCGCGAATAGAATGTCATCTTATCTTATTTATATAATTTGATGTTTTGCAAATTTTCAAGGTTTAATCAACCTTATAATCTCGTGCTTCTGCGAAGTGTATTGCAGATAAAAGCCAGTCGACTTTCGTTTTGTGGACGGAAATTCGGGTATTTCCCAAGAACCACACGCAGAAAAAGAAACCGACGAGTGAGAAAGAAAAGGTTCATCTTTTGAATGGTTGCCAAGAAAACGTTTGTCCATCACCCAAAATGAATACTTAGAATCGATGCGTGTGAATCTCTTCTGTTCTCATTTATGTATCAATTAATAAAGAGACACTTTTTCTCTGAAGACTATTTTGATAATTGAAATCAGCACAAAATTGTGCGAAAAGAGCACGAAAGTTATGCAAGATTCAATGCAATTTTTATGTGCCTGAGAGAATTTGCAATTGATTGGCGGGAAATCCCACGAAGGGGTTCACAAGATATTCACGCAAACACACACACATTTCAGTGTCACACCTGCAAATTGACTCAAGGAAAGTCATATTGAAATTTACCTAAACATCCAATGGCGAGTGTCAGATTATTATTTTTTAAAATAGATCCGTGAGGATTTTGTGAGGGGAAATCAAGCATAGAAATCATGTGGTGACTCTCGATTAAAGTGCGGAATTAATGAATGGATAATGACGCAAAAGAGTCTCAGTCTCGGTCGTCTTGTTTATGATCTCTCTTGTGGGATTTTCAGAACGTTGCACACAACAAGCTTGTGTGTGTGAGTAAACAAACCTGAAAGGTGGGAAACCAATGAACCCTTTGGGAATTTCCAGTAAATTGCATTGCATGAAAATTCCCCTTTAGCTCGGAAAATTGCTCGCACAGCCAGACTTTTCACGAGAATTCCTGGGGAAATTTTGGCACACAATCACAATGAAATTGGGAAAAATCTCGCTCAGAATTCTGGGGAATCTTTTGACCCCAGCAGTTTGAAGAAAGACAAAAAACCACCATTCTGAGACGTCGCAATTGCCATACAGAAAACAATATACAAATGATGTCTCTTTTCTCGTGCAAGTGCGTATTTCTATTGCACGAGACAAAGATCAAAATATTGATACACTTTTCAGCCTCTTTATTTGCCTCTTTTTACCCAAAGTCGCATGGCGAAAATTTGAAAAAAATCACCACTTCCTCAAAGAAACACGTGTTGGCAATTGCTTATTTTTCCCAACTGTTTTGTAAAGAGAATGGTTGAAGAGGGACAAAACTAAAGACGTCATGAATTTGTGAGCACACCCGCTGTCTGAGCCGGAGTGTTCAAAACACGACTAAACGTGTCACAGAACATAGGTGAACGGGGTCGCGGACAGGGCGAACTTCAGCGCCTTTCAGTGTGTGTTTATGTGGATTTCCAATGAAACACATGCACTGTGAAATCCCAATACACGCGACAAATTCCCCAAACGCGCGGGCATTTCTCATGAAACCCCGAGCAATCCGCCGAACAGACACCTTCGTGGACATTCGGGGCGCTGAGAGTGGATGGGAAGGGCGCAAGCTATAAAAGCCAGAGCGACGAGGCAGTTCGCCAACATTGTACAATCAGCCAGAGAAGTGAAAAGTCTATAAAGAATACAGAGTGAAGAGAAGTTACATTTGAATTGCATAAGACGGTGTAAACACAAGTGATTCAGCGGATATTGAACTGCCAGATTTGGATTTTATCAGTGCCAGACACACGCCAAGAAGGATCATCAGAGCCACGGTGATAGTCAGTAAGCTGGCACCGCATTCCGAATTCATATCCCTGAGACGTGAATCGAGAGAGAGAATCATGGTATTGGAGGAGAAATCACTGGAACCTGTTGAAATGGGTCGCAAGCCGCAGAATCTCGGACGGACGGTCCGGAATGTGTTGCTGAGGGCGCAAACGGACAAGAGGACAATTGTGGGTGTGGCGGCAGCGGTGAAGACACTCTCATCTGCCCCCGAGGATGCCCTGTTCTGCTTCCTGGCGCCGCCATCCGCCGGCGACAGCGCCACACACATGCAGGAGGTGCTGCTGCAGGCCTTCTGCTTCGAGAATGACATCTACATCATCAAGCTGGACAGCAGTGACAAGCTCAGTCGCATCCTGGGCTCACACACCCTGGAATCCTGCGCCCTGGTGCAGAAATCCTGGCAGCAGGACGAAGAAGTGCTCACGACAGCCGAAGAAGACCTCGTAGATCACTGCGAAGCCTTCTGGGATGCCCCAAGCCAGCCCGTGGTGCGCCTCCCTGAGCTGTGAACGCCTTCGTGGAAGCCTGGGATGGAATCCCAGTTGGTGCAGAAAACAGACATTTGACAATGGATCCAAAGGGTCGCGCCTAAACCACCCTTTTGCTCCTTCGTCAGAAGACAATCATTCCCCCCTGTGGAATATCCTCATCATGAGTCATCTTCCTCATCAGCCAGTGATCATGGATGGCAAAGACATCCTGAAAGCGCATCACTCAACTGAAGAGATAACAAGAAGAGAGAAATTTCCACGAGAGAAACCAACATTTGAGAGAATTTCACAATATTGTCGAATCTCCCAAAATTTAAATGGCACGCAGCAAATTTTTCAAACTATTGCTTAATGTTCGAATGTTTCTAAGAAGTAGATATACGTTAGAGTTTGAACACAGTAGATTGCCGGAGGAAAAGAAAATTGTCACTACCATTGGCTTGAAAGCCACCAAAGAAACAGATAAGAAAGATATTGAATAATCAGGCAATAATTAATGTAAAATGTAGTCCTTATGGCCAAGTCTGATGGCCCTAAAATACTCAAAGAAAAAAAAACAATTGTGTAATGAAATGAATAAATAAGAAAATTACTCAAAAGAAAAATCACACGTGTTTTCCACTTCTTCACTTCGTGCTATTGTGAGAAAATCACTGCTCATCTCGTGGCGACAGGGAAATTTTTTGCATTGTTCCACAATGCAATGCACTTCTTATCAGTTTTTCCCCACCCAATTAGTCGGTGTTTTGGTTGCTAATTTCTGATAAAACGGGCCAATTTGATTGAAATCTCGCGACGATGATGATTTCAAGATTGTCCCATTTCTTTCGTGTGTATTTCTCGGAATCCGCTTTCTGTTTAGCCACGATGATTCATGAACTTTCGTGAATGGCTGTGTATGTATGTAAATAATACTGTAAATGCAGAGCTTTTACTAACAATGAGCTTTCAATGCGGTGGAAGTCTTGACTGAGACTTTGCCATAATTATTCAATCAAGAGTTGGTTGAAACTATAGATTTTTTGGCGAGACACATTTAACATAATCGTCTTCATTAGAAGGAAAACAAGATGTTATTATGTGGTTTTTCTTTATTATTTTCTTCAGACAATAAAAAAGTCCATTAGAAATATTTTCAATTACATTGACTTGGTTTTTCTTCTTATTTCGTAGGTATTATAAATGTTTGTCCAATACATTAAGTTGGCATTTTACCTCTTTTTAATCTCATGTGTTTCCTTTTTTGTTCTCTAAATGCACACTTTATTCGTGGTTTCTTCTTATTCCTGAATGTGATCGAGTAAGAAAAAAAAATTATGGAATGAATTCGGAAGTTGACGATAATTTTAGTCTTTCAATTTTTGTCATTGATACAAATCATAAAAAATTTAGGCTCTACTAAAGGAATGAACTTTTCCTGTAGTTTCTTTTCAGTCTATATAGAGAGAAGGAGAAAATTCATACCAATATTCAGGGTTTCACTATTCGAATGCATGCGTTTCTTTTTTGGGAATAAAAAAATTGATTGGCACTCAATTTCCCTTTCATGTTCTGCCAATATGCTAAGGATGGTGTTGGTTGGTTTGTTTGGAAGGAATTTTTACAAGAAAGTTGTCTTTTTATCACAGCAGAAAGAATGTGATGTTGAATTTCTTTTTTTTTCTTTAAAACCATCAAGAGCACCTTTAATGCAACGAGATTATCGTCATCTCGCCAAATGCTCTCTCTCTCTCTCTCAGTGAGTGATGTTCCACAGTTGCGATTCACTTTCAGACTCGCACGGAGCCACATAAATGTAGTCCATTTCCTTGAGATCACGCATGTCCAGGCAGAGATTCAACTTAACATACCTGAGTTGCTTGCCTGCCGTCAATTCCCATCGATTATTCACTGCATTGTATTTGTTGCAGCTCGACATGATGACAAACATTCTGCTGGATTTGCTGAAAGAGCCAAGAAAAGGTTGTTAATCAAGCTCCTCATGCAATTTTGCCGTAGATTCTCCTCACCTCTCCTGAACAGAGGCACACGCTTCTTCGATACGAAGGACGCCGTCGTGCGTGAGTGAGAAGAACTGCGAATGCGCAACGTGAGGCCCGTGACAACCGTAGATGCCGACATTGAAGGGCGCCTCGCGATCCTGCTGCAAATCATCGAGGCACATGTTGGACGACAGTGATTTCACACGTCCGTATGCCTGAACATTTTTCGTTGGTATAAACTTTTCCGGGAAGACATTTTTCAGGTACCAATCAAAGTTCTTGCATCGCATCTTGTCCCGCAGTACTTTCCTGTGCGTCACATCACCCACTTCTGGGTGATTCTGCGAAGAGAGCGCGCACAACGGTTCAAGTTTGTATACAGTTTTTCTTATGTTATATCTTTTGAGAGTCTCTCACCTTCAAATCTGGACGGTTCAAGAAGAACAGATTGATGTAATCATCCATCCAGACGAGCGCCATTCGAACGGTGTTGATGCCATGAGTGTCTCTATTGTCTGGAAATCTGCAAGACAACATGCACTTTAATTAATCTGGGCAGCTCATTAAAAAACAGCCACTTTGCAAGACTCACGAGTACGGATGGAAGTCCCTGAAGATGTGGCCAACGCGTGAGCATGGAATTGTCTCGATTGTCCCTCCGCATTGCCACACTCTGAAGGAGATCTCAAGATTCTCGCCGCCCCAGCCGTCCATCTGCTCATCATAGCTGCCCACTTCCCAGAAGTACTCGCGATTGATGGCAAACAGCCCGCCGGCCATCGTCGGACTGTACGTGGGACACACGTCCACGTCCTTGTGCGCGCACTCACGCGCCTGGCGAGCGCGCTCGTGCGCCGAGATGTCGATCCAGTCAAAGTGTCCACTCCACGAGAATCCACCCACTTGGAAGGTGCTGTAGCCGTTGCTGCTGTAGTGGAAGTCCTTCGCGTCGATCACATCGATAATCGGCACCAGCACACTCGTGCGTGACTCCTTGATCCTGGCCAGCAGCGGCTCCAGCCACTCCTCCACACACTCACAGTGCGCATCAAGGAAGACCAGCACGTCGCCGCGCGCCACTCGAGCGCCCGCCAATCTGGCACGAATGAGGCCCAATCTGCGGAAAAGATTGCTCGTTACGCCATGGGAAAATAAGGTACTTATTTCCTCCCATAAGTTGTACAAGACATCTTTTTACCATTTGGAATAATTACACCCATAATTCTCTCGTGATTTGTTTTCAATGTCTCAACAAGAATGAATCATTATGCTGTATTACATTAAACTACACGTCTGTGTACAATGAAATGTCTGTCTCAAAAGCATCTGCTTCTGTTTTGCGCAAGATTTGCACAAAAAACTCCCCATGAAGAGTGTAATAAAAAGTGTAAATAAGGAGTCAAAGACACACCGGGAATGATTTTCAATACGTCGCGTCGCGTTAATTGCTGACTAATAGTTTCAATCTGCAGAGAAAGTTTCATTTTAAACACCCTCTAGAAATTCCACCTCAAAACAACCCTGAAAATAATGAATCTAATTTGCAAATCAACATTTCTCCGTCTCACTGGCAGATTTTCACGGTGAGCAAAGTGAGAAATAAAGTGAAGAAACGAGATTAATGAAATTATGAAATCACACATTCTCAAACAGAATCGATAAGATTGTAACTGTTTCTTTTTTTAGCGTTTTTCTCTCCCTTCCACAATTTCTGCTTCAGTCACTTTTACAGGAATCTTATACTCAATTTGACACACATTTTATCTCTCTTCGCTGTGCATGTGAGAAATCTTAATTCTTCCTCTTCTTCTCTTGTTCACTCCAAATAAAAAAAATTACCTTATAATGACACGAAGAAAGTCCAGCTAAGAAGTTTTAAATTAAATACATTGGACACAAATTATTTCATCTATTTCGGTTTTTTTACATCATGTGAGCAAAAAGAGCCGTAAATGACGAGAATTACTTTGCTTATATTAAAGAGAAGGAGAAGGAGAAAAAGAAATGGTATCGAGTCAACAAAGCAAAGATGATTCAATTACACAATCAACTGGGAAAGTATGTAAAATTGTACGATGGTTGAAATCCCCTCAAGAACAAGATATTGTCGCCGCAAAGTTATTTTCGAACAAGGTGTACACACAACAGCACGCGTAATTTGGAAATTGGAACCCGTTCTGCGACTTTGCATGGCATTAAGAGCCGATAAACTGGGTTGACTTACCCAGAGATTGTGAAGGCGCGACGAGAGACAGTCATTTCTTTTCTCACCCGCTTTTTCGTTGAAATATCAACCAAAAATCCATTCTCACAATCAGTCAAGGTGCTCTTTTCACATAAAACGCGTGTCATAAGATTTTTCAAATGGCAGTAAATATTGCATTCAGACGGCATTCAATAGACAGCAAATAACTCAGGCGTTATGTACATGAACATAGCATCGTGACTCGCGCGTTGACTTTGCAAATAGGCTACATATTTGTTGTAGAAGTTTAATAAATTCTGAACATACTTTATTCTATATTATCATGAGAGAAAACTCAAGGAAGTCATTATTCCAGGAAAAGCTATAAATTCTTCATGATTTCCCTGATTTCCCCTATTTAAATTTTCGCAACTCTTCCCCTTCTGATAAAGGCCAAAAGCGACTCACCTGCTCTTCAACCGGATGAGGCGCACATTCTTGGGAAATCGTGTCTCGATGTAGTAATCGAGCTTGTCCTTGAGTTCCGGATTCACGCTGGCGTCATCCACGAGGATGATCTCCTTGAGGATGCGCTGATCGCCCGTGTTGAGCACACTGTGCACCGTTCGCACCAGCACAGAATACGGTTCATTGTAGAAGATGATGACAACACTGGCGCTGGGCAGATTGTCGACGTCGTAGCGAATGCTGCGGCACAGCGGATTCCTGGCATCAGGCACAGTTCGGTTGTAGCTCAAGTGTTCGCTGAGTTCCTCATTGAGTGCAATTCTCTTCACATCATCGTCGCCCTTCTTCTTGGCCGCCCCAAACAGCGTCACGGGCTTCCCGCGATCGCCCAAGCCGCGCTCCTGCTTCAGCATATCCGCCCGGATGAGCTTCTCCAGCGGATTCAGCCCATCGATAATGTTTGTGTCGACAAAGTTCGTCTCTGGGCTGGCATTGAGGTGTTCTGTGCTGAATTTGATGAACTTAAAGTAGAAGACAAAGCTCACGGCGACGATGGCGAGAAGCAGCAATTTCTGATACAGTGACCGTCCAAAAGGTGAACCACGTATTAGCATTGTTGACCTCTTCTCTTGTGTTTTGGCACGCTGTGGACACACCAAAGTCAATCCCTCACGGCTCCACACATTCACTCTCGCTCACGCAAGCGTGTGCACGTATAAAATGAAGAAAGGTGGTCAAGGAATGATTGAAATGCAGGCGCGGAAAAGAGTGAATTAAAATTGCGCGATGAATGGTGTCGCGGAACGTGATGTTCTTTTACATGGCACAATGGGAACTGGTGCTCTGGAGCCGGAGAACGACTGGAAAATCCAGTGCCAGCTGCCACCACTTTTCTTTTCTTCTGACACTTCACACACTCGTGCACAATCTTCGTGCGCCGCGCCGAACAGCGAGGCCACGAACCACTTCACTCAATTCTCATCGATTGCGAACAATTCAAATGACTCACGCTAACGGACTTTCCAGTGCGCGCCATAAAACTCTTCCAGGGGGCGATAATATGCCCTTAATCTGTACACCACTTCGTGACACTTCCACAATTTCTGAGCAGAAACACTTCAGACACGTCCGAGCGCATTTGAATGCATTTTCCGTCGCTTTTAACTCTTCTTCACTTGTTTCTTCAGCAGTTTCTTATCACAAACTAACCTAGGTTTTACCGTTTGAAGAGGTTTAAGCTTTTCAAATGCTTAAATTTCAGATTGTAGGATTTGTGAGGTTAAGAATCGAACCTAAAATATCCATATTAGCCTAATTTTAATCCTTTCAAACCTGGAATTGAGTAAATATGGTGAATATCACAACATTTCTACTAGATAATGAGGTTGAATTTGCCATTCTTAAGCATAAATCACCGAAATAACTAAGCAAATAAACATTTTTCTACATTGAAATGATATTTTTTAGGTTATGATGGACTTTTAAGCTGTTTTCGACTGAAGAAAATAATGTAATCTAAAGTTATTGATCACAAATGCTCAACTGTGTCAAGAAAAATGAGAAATATTCCCAGATTAAATATAAATTTGATGATTTTGGACGTCATTTAATCACCAGAATCAGTCCTAAATCAATCACATAACCTAAAAAAGGCAAATAAATTGATTTTTCTTGTTAAGATAATTTAGAAAATGCCTCTATTTGTTGAAAAAGAGAAGCATTTGCAATGAAAATATTCTAAATATTTTGCCACTACCAATTTTAAACACTCCAAAACAGCTTTACACCACTTTGGACTATAATATCTGCCCCTTGGTTCTATTTAGACTTTCCATACGCGAATATTTTCTACATTATTTCCCGGTTTTCCAATCCATTTTTACCCTCACTTGGGAAACAAATTGCAAGACTTAATATGCGCTCTGTAATCCTTAATTTCTCGCTCAATTTACCATCTCAGGAATGCCCGGTCTAAGCGAAAACTCTAGCTTAGAGCAATGTTCACACATGTGTGAATTTTGTATCATGTGGAATTTTTACAGGCTCGTTTTCCCTCTAGTTAACATCACAACATCATTTCTGTTCCGCGACGAGGGGTGTGAATGTGGAATGTTGTATGCTGAAAATAAGACAAATTCCACACACGAGAAATGCTTGTCGCACAAACACCAACAGATCAATTACAAATTGCCTACAATTTAACAAAGCGAAAAGTGATAAACACGTCAAAAGAAGAAGATCACACATGCACAAATTGCTTCTCAACGACTGTGCGGATGTTGTTTGATCTAAAGCACAAGCAATTAATAAATGTTAATGGTGTGGAAATTATGACAATTCCCCAAGAAGTGGTTTAGATTTGCAAATTATGCGGATGAGGCGGATCTGAATTTTTCTCTCTCTTTCACCAGATTTAGGATTATGATGGTGAATTTGTAGAGGAAAATGGAAAATGTGTATTGTCTCTGTGTCCAAGTGTGTGAAGAGAGCAAGCAGAGGAAAATTGCCACAACACATTCAAATCATAAATTGATGGAAACATGAAATTCAAATGAACTTTCCTCAAAATGTATGTAATGTTTAATTGAATTCTCATGTCCTCAAAACGTGCCAATTATATTTCTCTCTACCCTTCTCTCGTTTTGCCCTCTTTTCCCGTCGCGCACCTCAATCAAAAAGGGGGCGAAGGAGAAAATTGTGGCAAATAGCTCGTAAATAGACCAACAATTCCCATTAAATATTGCCAGTTAAATTCCCCTTTTTCATATTCCCATATCGCCACTTTGGCGACTGTATTTCACTCTTTCTGTTCTCAAGATGTCTCGCGATTAGGATGTTAAATTACTCGCAATTGATTCTTCAAATTGGCACAAATTCAATAACAAATTAAATAGAAATTCATCGTGTGGTTATTTTCGCACAAAACAGAGCTTTTGAGGATAAGTCTGGGGGAGAAACTATAATTGATTTGACAATTTGTTGAGTGACCGCAGCAAAACAATAAGTTTCAATAATTTACGTTTAGAACTATCATTAAATTTCACCCCTTTAGAGGGTGAAAGGGTATCAAAAGTATCATTCTACCTCGAGAGGCAGTAATTAGTATGAAATTTTAATTAAACACCAACCAATTCGAAATGTTTTCCCATCCAATATTTCACATTACACCACTTTCACAAGCAACCCATAATTGGTGTGTCGGCGGTCATTAGTTCGATTTCACATGATTATTGATTACAATATTCCTTGTTTGCGTCTATCATAATCAGTGAGTCGGTTTACCACACATTGTCAATATTTAATATCCAGTGAATGTGAAATAATGCCTCTTCGCAAGGCAGAGCATTTTCCCACAAATTCGTCTTTCATCTCTTTTGGGTGAAAATTAATTGACATCATTTTGAATTAATTAAATTGTTTAATTATGAGGCACGAAAATGAGCAACAATCACAAAGTATTTTAATTTGTGCGTAAAAGAGGCGTGTAACTTGCATCTAATTTTACATCAACTTCTCATTCTTGAGAGGCGCAAGGAAGCCAAAGAGACGGCTGAGATGCCAACAATCCGCCAGGGGCACCGAATGTGTTGATGAAAATCGCGCAAGAAATGCTGCCTTAGAACACACTTTCAGCCCAAGTAGAATAGCCCCTTCGTCACTTAACGGATCGTTAAATTTAATTAATTGCACTCAGTACAAAAATAAAGAGGTGAATTTTCTCTCATTACTCAAAAGAACTGACTGAACGCAAAATTAGTGGAGAACCATTAGAAAATGTCGACTTCTCGCGCAAATTTCCTCAATTTCACACACTCACACAAACTTACGAACTAATTAGCTGAAGTTAACGCTATAATTAATAAATTATTCATAATAGTTGAAGCGGTAGAAGCTCATGAATTGACTTATGAGGATATTTCTCAAAGGTAATGAAAAGAATAATTATAAAAAAACACCCACGAAAATCGCTCTATTCGTACAGCAAACAAAGATGTTAATTGCTGATCCATTTCAGTGTTTTCTTACAAATTTATTCCTTCTCTCCTTGCATACACACTCCAATTTCCTCCACATTTCCCCGTGCTTTGCTCCCCATTTTTCCCTCGCTTCTGTGTCTTCATCATCATTTAATACGACTGCGATGTTGTATAAATTATATCACCATGTGTACAAATGAGAGAGTGCGATATAGTGAAAATTACAATGGTTAGGAGAAACAAGGGAAACACAAGAAACTCCCATTGGTCGACTGTGCTGAGAAAATCGCACCAATCGTCATGTGGCGAGGCGAGGCATGAGCAAAATGTGTATTGCGCACAGAGTCGCACGTCAAACTTTACTCTCGAGAAAGCAAGAACAAGACTTTCGAATCATGTTAATTCTGAGATAACACCAAGGGTAATTCAATTACCCGAACTCAATTACACTTGATCTTCCCAAAATAAGCAGAATGCAGAAATCCTAAAGCATCGAAAACGATCAGTTTTCAAACACTTGATTTAAAAAAAATCTTTTATAAAGTAATTTCTATTGTAGACTTTAGTAAATTATAAATAAAAACTGAGCTAAAACTGAGCCAAATCAGCCAAATCACTGGTTTTGTGATTGCAAAGAAAAATTAATACTTCACAAACATGTAACTAAGTATGAGGGAACGCGTATTATTACAAATATTCCAATAAAATTCAGTACACATTAAGAAGTTTAATAACAGTGAAATGGATGGAAAATCTGCGAAAAATTACCATATTTCTCAAATTTTCACAAAATTATTGTCGCTGATGGCAAAAAGTCGAATATTTATTTAAATTTGAATGATTTGAAAAAAAATACAGTAGCGAAAATTAGCTTAGGACACTTATGAAATTTTGAGTCAATTTTTTAGTGCTAAAAATTTGGCATTTCTTTCAATTTTTGAGACATTTACCTTAAAAAAAAAACTGATCAGAATTTAATGATCTTTCAAATGGTGTTGAGATCATAGCAATATTTCAATTCGATGCCGAGATATTGTAAAATGCAGAGACATGTGCAAAAAATAAATTAAGACACTTCATATTTGGGAAAACAATATAAAATCATGAGTTTTGAGTGCCTTGAAGACATTTACATCATAAAACGCCTTGATTTGAACTTTTTAACTTGCTTTTGGTAGATTTTTAGCTATCATTTAACAGATTTTAGTTCACAGATTTTTAATGAAGTGTAGAATAGGTGTCCTAAGCTAATTCTCGCTACTGTAGATCATTTACTTTCAATTAGAATATTAATTGATCATATTAAACTGAATTCAAATCTCTCACATTCCAAATGTGACCACAAAAATCCATCTGTTCAAGTGTTTATCAATGTTCCTCATCTTTGGCAATTGCCAAAGTCATCCAGTAATTTCCAACAATTTCTCATAGAGAAACACTCCATTAAAATCACACTCCTTTTCGCCGACATTCAATCCCAAAATTCGCAGACTTGCAGCACATAAACATAAACATCCTGCGAACATATTCGTGTTAGAGTACATAAGACGATTAAGAGGTGGGATGTTGGAAAAATCCACTTTTCCGAAGTGCATCCCAATGAGGAGCGACCAAGAGGGGTGATAGAAAATCCTTGTTCGCATCGTTGCCAGAGTGAACAGGCAAGAGAGACACCGATTTGTCGTGTGTGTGCGCTTCTGAGGAAGCCATCGAGGCACAACAGTCAGTTTCTATCGAACACTCGTCTGTGACACACGTCTCGATTCTGCCAAAAAGAAAGTCCGTCGGCTGTAAATTTATGTGAATTGTAAATAAGCACTTCTCAATAGAAGGAAAAAAAAGCAGTGATTGTCATCGCGAAGGATGTGAAAGTTTAAGGCAATAGAAGAGATTGAAAGTTGATAGATTGCGCTAAGGAAGAAACACAGAGAGAGAGATTCACTATCAAAAGAGATGGAAGAACTCCCGTCGGCAGTTGAGAATCCGTCAGGAGACACGAAGATCACGCGAATCCCCAAGCCATTCTCCATTGAGAGTCTCATCGCCACAACACCATCGTCCTTTTCAACATATCCCGAGGCACAGTTTGACTCTCAGCCCAATCTCACGCCACTCCATCCGCCCACAGCTCTACCTTTGCCCAATTTCCCACTCTACACGCATCCCTGGCTCGGCTATCTCACCCAGCACTTCCTGGACGGATCCACAGACGCTCCGGCATCGCGTGAGAAATTGTCAGAAATGTTCCTCGATCCGCGATACGCTCTTCTCAGCACATCGGCCACGGATCGTGAGAAATTAGCACAGTATTTTGTCAATAACATCAACAAATCATCACCATCGGCAATTCTCGAGTCCAGAGACAGAATGTCAGACTTCATCATCAGTGACTACACAGCCTATTCTCAAGGCGACAGTGCCGCGAAATTTCCTGACGATCGGCGAATGTCGATGCAAGTGTTTCCCACTAAAATTGAGGATCACGATAAGACTGGTGTGGATGTTGAGAGCACAGATTCGTGCAGTGATTTGAGCATGACAATGTCTCCAGACGGAAGTCACAAGAATCGAGGTAAATAATTCTCACACTTTCCAACTGGGATTTTCACGCGCTTCCGCGTATTCTCGAGAGAAATTTCATGCCATGTCATTGATAAAACGCCACGTATTTGAACACCTGTATATAAAATTACTGGCCCTATTGAGAATCCGTCGAATAAATCAATTATACTTAATCAGCCATCAAAAGACTCTCCTTCAGCTATACTCCTAAGTAGCGCGGCCATCAAGAAGTGCATACAGAAAATGTATGTCGGCAACATAAGTCATAATGTAATTGGTGAGCTCTTCACACCCTCGCAATCCAGGCACCTTCAAGCCCAACTTCATTAACAAACATCTGGAATCAAGGCACGAAATGACGAAATTCTCGATGTCTTCTAATAGATAAATTCTTTTCACTCACTGCTTCTTCCGTCCTTTTGATTTTTGGCGCTCATATTTGTGGAAACACGCGAGGGCAGATCGAAATTGTGGAATTCCACACATTCATAGAGATAATAAATTCTCACCACTTATTGAAAATTAATGATAAATCCCAACAATTGCTAAATCCCATTTAAATGCCCCTCGCGAGAGTGACTTTGTCACACCCTCGAAAGCGTGTCGTGACAGTTTTGATGGAAGATTCATTTCACTCTGAGAAGCCCTAGAGAGTGATTTTTCCGGACTGGGAATATTAATGTCATGCAAACTTTCTCCTGATCCAAACAATTACTTCAACCCTCATTCATGTCCTTAATATTCATCTGAACAGTTGCATCGTTATATTAAATCAATGTTCAAACTCAAGAGTGACTTTGACTTTTTCTCTGAATTTCTAGTTAACACTAGACTTACCCCAGTGAGCACAAAATGCTAAGATCTCAATGTTGAGATTTAAAAAGCTAATTATTTGGCTTTCTTTCGCTAAGATCTTAGCCATTCGGTTAATGCACTAGCGATCGTAGCGACAACCAGTCAAAGTACTGATACGCATTTAAATGCATAGATGTCGCATCAGGTAAAACGATGCCATTTCAATAATATACTTCGTGATCACAACACTCAAGTTAAGTGTATAAATGAAACCATACAAAGAACCTTAGTCCACAAAGACATTTTTATATGACATGGAAAACCGGATAAAGGGAAGTCCCTAGAGGAGACTTCCTGTCTTTTTGCAAAGTTTTGATTACAAAAGCAATAAATTTAGCAAAATATGAAGCAAAAAACAGCAGAAAATCTGTAAACTAAAGCAAAACAAATTGGCTAAATATTTTGCTTGAAATTGTTGCGTTTGTAATTCTATTGAGTTTCCTTCATCGTCCGCTGCGATCGCTGACAGTTTAAAATTTTAGCTCAGTCACTTTAGCACTTTTTAGCTAAATACGCTGGCTTCTTATAGCTTTTTTGAGTCACTGGGTACATTTAGGCTGCTTAAAACGAGTCAAAACGATCCGAATTTTCCATAATCTTCTCCTCATGTGAATTATATTTCTGCAAAGTCAATTCTAGTGTTAAATAAATTCCCACGAGAGAAAGGATCTCACTGGTTTTGTCCTAAACACATCGACACAATGGGGTATCGCTTTATGAAACGTGCCACAGACGATTTTGCTCATTTTACAACCCTCCTTATAAAGCGGTAAAATGAGGATTACATGAATCTTTTTTAAAGAATCATCTGCGTGGAGAAAGCATAAATTAAACTATTAGCTGTAACACTAAAAACATCCCCTTTTCTCTCTTTTTCTCTTTGATAAAAAGGGCTTAAAAAATCTATTAATCCCAACAACCCGAAACTGTTTTCATGAATAACACTCTCAACATGATTTCACCCCAAAGAAACTCCTACATAAATTACATATGTGTCTAGCATAAAACCACACAGACGATTTATCCAGAGACTTATTTATGCAAAAAGTGCGCGGTGAAGTTGCAAGAAAGAGAGACTGATTGAATAGTTCTGTCGACATCAATTGACTTGAGCAATTACATTTTAAATGCACTCCAAGCGTGGAATGCATACTAAAGAAGAGACTAACACTGTTTTCTAACCACCCTCAGATCTCTGTCCGTCGGATTCTGAATGCTCTGACGATGGGAATGTCAGCATAGGAGCAACTTCTGGACGTCATGCGACCAATTCTGACACTGGAAAGCAATCCGCGTCGGGAAGTTCATCGAAATCACGCCGAAGACGAACAGCATTCACCTCAGAACAATTATTAGAGTTAGAACGAGAGTTTCATGCCAAAAAGTACCTTAGTCTGACCGAGAGGAGTCAAATTGCGACTACGCTCAAATTAAGTGAAGTTCAGGTAAGAAATCGCACTTCTTTGGCTTGTGCGCTTTGGAGTACTGAAGAAAAGTGTGATTTGCAGGTGAAAATATGGTTTCAAAATCGACGAGCCAAGTGGAAAAGAGTGAAAGCCGGATTGACGTCGCACGGACTCAATCGCGGCTCAACGGGAAGCAGCGCAGGAACGGCAAATAAGATTGTCGTGCCAATTCCCGTTCACGTCAATCGCTTTGCCGTGCGATCACAGCATCAGCACATGGAGAAAATGGGTCTCAGCGGACCAAAGCCAGACTTGAGGAAGAATCCTTCAATTGATGTGAGTGGTTTTGAGCGTTTCAACATGGAAATGGCAATAAAACAGAAAAATTTCTAATGTGACTTGTACATAAAATTGCAAAAAAAAGCATCTCAAAATATTAAAAGAAGAAGAAGTGTACATAGATAAAAAATAAGAGTTTACTTGCAAAATAAACAGAATGATTTTTCTAACTTATGCGAAATCACTGGGTTTGTGTGTATATTATAATAATGAATTTCATTGGGTTGCGCAGAAGTGAAGAAAATCCCACTTAAAGTCAATGTTCCGCAGCGAATTTACCAATTTCACGCACCAAATTTCCTTCTCTGACTTCTCTGAGAGGATTTTTTGAGGGCTTTTGTCACACAATTTGTCGTCCTTATGCTACCAAAAATTCTTTGTCATCCTTTTCACGCCACTCTCACTCTCTCCAGGTGTCTCACGCCACATTAAATCACCCTTCACATGATCCCTGTCTCAACTCCACCTCTTCATCATTAGCAATGATATTTGATTATAGCAAACAATGAGAAATGCTCCTTCCATTCTTACCAATTACGATAATAGCACATTTTTTAAATTCACTCTCTCTCTCAGCTCGCCCTTTTGGCGCGAGAGCGGATAGTTTTTCCTCTTCTCGCCGTGCGAAGAAGTGTGAATAACAATTTTACCCCACACGCAGAAGCTGCACAAATTGATGAATCCCCTTCTAATGTCATTTTGTTAAACTAAATGCTCACGAACACGCCTCCCAGTCACTATAAATGTGAAATTCTGGTCCCTCATCACAATTTCGTCTCGTCTCTCTGTGCTCACATTGCTGGCTGTCCGGCACCGAATTTCAATCTTCTCTGTCTCTCCCTTTCTGAAGTGCAGCGAAAAAAACAACAATTTCGCCATACGATCAATAACAATGGCAAAATACAGACCTTTTTATGCTCTTTCGCCATAAGCAAAACTCTTTCATCACAATATGTAAATCAATTTTCTCAATATTTGTCACTTTTCTACCCTCATTAGTCTTCATTAATTACAGACAACATGGAGTGAATGAATTTTAATACATTATTCCACAAGGGGAGATAAATATAATTCTTCCAGGGTTGATTTTCATTGTCATTTGTGCCCTCAAATAGTTTGCCTTAGAGAAAATGCTTCACCGCTATAAATCATCATTGAGGAAATTTGCAGGAAAAATGGGAGGAGTTTTGCATCTCATCCCCCCAAAAATAGGATGACTTATGGACTTTTATGTTATGTACAAAATGGACAAAGAAATTGCTTCATAAACCAACTTTCTGGGATATTTCTGACCTTCCGGAAGTTTGATTTCTTTTTTTCTCTCTGAGTAGGGAAAGCAAAACTGCGTAAATTCTTAATAAATTCAATTTAAATTAATTACATGGAGAATTTATGGAGATGATTATTGAACATCTTTTACACACAAACAGATTCATCACCTGCTTAACACGATAGCATCTCAAGATCATTAGACATTCAAGCAGAGGAAGTTAATAGAATTACTGAGTGAGAGAGAGAAGGAGAGTTTCTCTTCTCCGCCAGTTTGGCTTAGGAGATCTTTTAACAACAACAGTCAATTACCTTAACTTGATTAACCGCACTTGTAAAATTAACAAGTATAATTCTTGAAATTGAATCTCTCAAGAGAGATTGTTTTCATTCATAAATACTATTATCCATTTTAATCCTCTTCTTCAATTCCTTTTCCGCATTACGAATTCTTTTCACATCCCACACTCAAAAATTGATTTGTCGACTTGGCCGAGCGCGACGAAGAAAAGCCATCAAATTTAAATGCATGTGTTTTATGACCAAAAATGCCGAAATTAATACACAATAACCGATCAAATCACAACTCCCGAAAACCCTTTTAACTTTGCATTTTGACACCGCGTCCGAAAAGGAAGTGTCTCGTGTCGAAACACGCGAAAATGTCTCTTTGCTTCGCACCGACGACAGATCTCAATCCTTTCCATTGGCAATTCACGTCACACGTCAATTCACATTATTCAGTCCTCATGAAGAATGTTCTTGTCAAAAATTTTATGAATATTTCCTCTAAATGCGAGATTTTGAATGGCCACAGAGCGTCAATTGCAGTGACTCCAAATCAAATAGCGCCATTTGAAGATCTGAGACATCTCGATGTGCTGCGAATTTCCACGTGAAGCTAGAAATCTGAATTTTTCCACCAATCTTCCGTCATTTATGAGTAATTAACATGCCAAGTTTCAAGACATTCGGTCAATCCTTAATCCTTATAATCATATCAAAACAGAACCAAAACAGTAATCAATCGTAACATTTGAATTCTTACCACTTAATTATGTTTTGGGGTCTTAAAGTGATTTAAATTAATCCGAGGTGTCTTCAGGATAAATATCCTGTAGATTTTGATTAAGTGAGTATCAAATTATGGAGCGGGAACAATATGCGACTCTAGAGAATCGTACAGAGATTTTGCGGCTGCGTAAAAAAGGATATTTAATCAGTGAAATAACCAGAAGGATCTTTTATTCCAGTAAGAGAGTTTCGAGCGCAAATTGACCGCGTAAAAAAGGCGAATTCGCAGGGAAAGTGTCGCTAAAATCTTTTCTGACGAAGTTTTCAGATATTTAAGGCGAATTTCGTCATATCTACTTCTAAGATCCATTAAGAATTGTTCCCTAAGATCTCTCCAATCTCTAATAAAACGGTGAGAAATAAATTTGTATATTGAAAGCACTGAAAGGTGTGCTAAACTTGAGTTTTTCTCCTTTTATCACTGGCTCTTGAGAAATTGAACAAGAGTTAATCACCGATAATCCTAAATATTGAGTGAATTACGAAGAAAATACATCAATTAAGTGTTGATATTTAGCCGAAAATAATTATCATCCTCTTAATCAACACAGATAATCGAGTGTTATAATTGCGCCATTAAATCCACCCACAGAAGAGTGTGTCCTCAGCGAAGATTTGTGGAAAGCCTGGGGAGGAAAACCCCCTGAGGAGAGGAGAAAACCACATGAATTGCCGTTTTTCCAGTGTTGGTGGTTTGCGAGAGCAATTTGGGGTCAATCTCAGCGTGACACGCCTCCCGAAAACTCCCCCGATATGGACGATATGTGATTTCATCATCACAAATTACTGTCGGCGACGCTCTTGCTCGCCTCCAGTTTCCAACCCTCGCGCGCCACGCTAGTGCCGGAGAGTCCTTAGAGATGATTTAGCGTTTGGGAATTAATCCTAACAATTGACGACAATTTCACGAGGAGAAAAAACAGCCAAGAATGAATAAGAAGCGCGTCTTGGCGGTGGAAATGTCCCATGAAATTTTATAAATAATACTTCAACCGTATTTGCATAATTTCCTCGTGAGTGGAGACTTTTTTTCTTGTGCATCATCGCAGATTAATGATGATGACGCTTTTTGGATTTACTCGTTGTTGAATTATGAAGATATTTCGAGAAATCCAGAGAATACAGAGAAAAGTCTCAAGAGGGGACAAAAATTGAAATGATCTCTTTTTACTTTCTCGCCGGGGAAAAGTGGGTGTGGTGGATCCTGGAGATGTGATGAAAGTTGGTGAAGAGGCAGAAAAAAAGGAGGAAATCTCGTCAAGTCAGGGTTGAGAGAGGGCAATTTGCAATTCTTCATGACAACGTATAAAATAATATCCAAGCGTCCTTGTCCATGGGCAGAACCCAGAGGACAATAAAAAGCGGCCAGAGAAATTCAATGTTATCGAAATCAGCACATTTTCCCTCGCCTCTTTCACCCTCCTCCTCACCCCCTTTTCGTGTCCGTCTCCGGCAAATTGCCGTGCACAAATTTATTCAAGAGAGTGTCACGGATCCTCATGGAAATTGATTGAAGATTGCTATGACAATATTACCACCTCATTTTCCATTGTCCGGAGCGCGATGCGCTTTTCACTTTGCGATCAATCAACACAATTTTCACCCTCGACATCAGCGGAACAATTATTGTTGAATGAATAAGTAATGTTTCCAAGGATATGAGGGATGATTTTTTGACTCACCCTTCCTTGATGACTTTCCCCGCTGTCCCGGATGATGTGGGAGACGGCATGAAAATTGCGGTTCCGCCTCTTCAGATAAGCTGTAACACAACAATCGAATTAGAGTGCATATTTAATATGTGAATAGACGAGGAAATGGCAAGGTTTTCCATCAATTCTCCCCGTTTGCATGACAAACAGAGAAAAAGCGAGCGCCGTGTGAGGTTATGACAATGGATGGTCTACGTTTTCCGGCTTTAGAGCAGCAATAATTGCAGTTCTCCGGATATTTTTTGCAGAAATATAGACATTAAAAAGGGTTTATTGTTAGAAATCGCATTGAATTACCACGGTTTTCACTGAATAAATGGATTTTTCTGTGAATTTTCATCACAACCGCCAATTTCACAAAATCTCCTGATAAAGGTGGTGAATACTGAATCACCACAATTTGGCGGCGACTTTTCTTCAGACATTTTCTCCATTTTCTGCATTCTTGTTAACACAAAATACTACTAAAGATTGATCAATTATCCTTGCTTTTATCTTTATTTCTGGATTTCATCCTAAGCAGCGTAATCGATATTTATCTGTCTATTTCCGCCGCTTCATTTTGCTTCGAGAATCAGACCTCAGAGTGGTGAATATATTTCAAACAGTCAGAAATCCAACGTTTCTATTCATTTTATTCACTAATTTACTAATCAATTTTTTCTACATGCTTTATAAAATCTAAAAGCTATAAATAAGGAAAAATCTCCCTATAACTAGAGTCTAGCGACAGTCCGCCGGGTATTTCTCTGGATGAAGTCTTCTCCTCTTCAGATGAACGACATTCATGTGAGTTCGCAAGGCAAATTTGTGGTGGGATTTCTCGCCACACAAGTGGCACTCGTAGGATTCATCTGAACTCAGGCGTCGGTGGCTGTCTTCTGCCTCGTGGAATGTTCTTATGTGCTTCCGCACGCTGGCCTTCCGCTCGAAAGTCCTCCGGCAGTGCGGACAAGTGTGGATCTTCTCCCTCAGCTGGTGAACCATTGCGTGCTGCTTCAGCATTTTGCCCGTGACGAAGCGCTGCGGACAATTGGGGCACTGGAAGCCTCTCATCTCGTGCGGCGTGTGAGTATTGATGGTGTGGAAGTCCAAACTGACTTGATACTTGAAGCACTTCCCGCAATCTCTGCACTTGAAGGCCTCCGGATCGTCGTGAAAGATCAGGTGATCATTGAGATTGGTGAAGCCGGAGAATTTGAGCTTGCAGCAGAGAATGTAAGCATTTCGGCTGTGAATTTCCCGGAAATGTTCCTCGAGATCGCGGAATTTGGCAAAAGTCTCCTTGCAAATATCGCATGTCAGACTGTAGAAGGATTCTATTCGACTGTGCAGAGCCTCAATATCCTCAGGAGACCAAATGTTTCTCTTCCGACTGCGCTTCACTGGCGGCTTCCGCACAACTATGCGAGGCGGAAGAGGCTTCAGCAACTGATCCCGCAGCAGAGATGTGGTTTGCTGAGGCACTGGCGGTTTCTGATTCATATAAGAGCACTTTGAGATCTCGCCCAGCAACATTTGCCTCAAAATCCCGCTATCCTGTGTCTTCATTGTGCTTTCCTGAGCCTTTTCCTCTTTCACTTCCCTTCCTGGCTCACCCGAGGCGGTATTCACAGCACACGGTATGGTTTCGCGCTCTCCGAAGAGATTTCTGAGAATGTTTTCACTCTCTCGCACGGTGTCAATGAACTTAACAATCTCATGGACTTTCTCCACACATCCAGAGCACACGAACTTGGGCCAATTGTCAGTCTCGCTGAGCTAAAACACAGTCAAAGGAGCAATTAATATCATTCCTGAGATATCAATCCAGCTGATGGAATACTCACAGAAACTCCCAGATGTGTGGAAAGCAGCTGAGGAAGATTTTCCGTGAACACTGGAAAATAGTCTGGCGATCGTCCCACACAAAGACGGCACATTTCCACTTCATTCTCCCTCAATTCCTGCTTAATCATCAACCTCAATCTCGAGGCGCCACTCTCCGTCATATTTGATTGTAATTTGATGCAAATCAATGGGGATTTTTCACGAAAAATGGACAGAAATGGGGAAATTAGGACACTCAGCAAACGACACAGCAACACCAGAATGACAACAAAAAAACAACCAACATAACCTCAAATCACCGAATCGCGCCGACAGCGCGCTCTGCCAGGAAAGTTTCGGATTAGTAGTTTTTAGATTTCCGCCAATTTCAGAGACGCTCGGGAAAAATTCAAGATTTCTCCGGGAAATCATCAGATTTATCCAATTTTCCGGTGGAATCAGCTTCTTGGGCATCCTTAGCGGCAGAGTAAGTTGAAAATCTAATATTTTCTGGTGGCATTTAGCTGAGAAATGTGGGAAACTGAAAATTGATTTTGACAGCCGAGAAGCTTGCGGCATGTTTTGAAATCGCATTTCTTATCTGTTTTTTCACGTGAATTTCGCAATATAGAGCCTTGAACACAATGTCGGATGCGGATGAGTTTCCAGACTCGGAGGAGGAATCTCCTGATGACTTCTCCGCCAGTGAGGACGAGTGGAAGCCCTCGAAAAAGGATGCGTCCTCGAGCGAAGAGGAAGACCTTGAAGTCTCTGATGATGAGGAAGCGGGAACAAGCAGCCGCGGAGGCAAAAGGTATTTTCCCTCCCTTGGTTTTATGGCTTCTGGATAAGCTAATATTCCTCTTAACTTGGCAGGAAGCGTGCAGCAGTGACTAGAGGAAAGGGAAACGTCTCACCGGCGAAGAGAAAGACTGCAAATCTCAGATCGAAGCTGTTCAAGAAGTACCAGCCACCCCCAAAAACGGTGAAGAGTCCTCCGGGACCGCCGAGAATCATTCCAGGCTCTATACAGCAGATTCTGAATCAATCACGCTACCAGAAGGGCAAGAAAGTGGCGCAATCTGAAGATTCCAGCAGCAGTGGCGATGAACATCTCGTGCCGGCGTCTGAACTTGATCTCGGATCGAGTTTCTTCAGTGGAAAGGATCGGAAGGAAGCCACGCCGCCTCCGGAGTTTGACTGCAACATTGGCACGAGACTGTCGGACTCCGAAGAGGAGGATGAACAGCCGGACATCGAGGAAAAGGACGCCAAAATCATGTCGAAGATTGTCTCGAGAATCAATCAATCTTCCTCCAAGTCCGTGCACTTCAGGAAGCTGGCGGACTTCACTGAGGCGAAACCAGAGACTTCCTCAGCAGCTAAACATGACAATCTCGACATTTCTTCCCTGCTGGCGATGGGAGAATCCACTGGAGCGGCGGCCAAGAGTGTCGCCAAGAGTCCGAGCAAGAGTCAGAAGGCTGCGAAGGGACGCAAGAGAGCCGCGGCCAGGGATTCCGAATCGGATTGGGAGGAAGTTGAAGGTAAATTGATTAAAAGTACAAAGAAAAGAGCCTTAAAAGATGCCCAGAAGAGTCTTTAGTGACTCTTTCTTGAGCCGAATTGTAGATGCGAGACTGAAATAAAAGCCACTTCGACTGAGAGAACATTTTCCCGTCTTTCCAGACTGGGAGAATCCTCAGGAGGAGCAAATCCCGGCGGATGGCATAGTCGTGGAGCTTCCGTCGGAGTTTCGGCGTCGCACCAAGAAGGAAGTCGACATGGAAGCGTGCATTAAGCGGAAACTCAATCGCCAGATCAAGGAGAATCAAGTTTATCTGCACAAATCGAATCTTGTCTGTTTTCTCGCCACGGGAAATCAATTGAATGCCATTCTGTGCAAGGGAAAACTTCTGGACGCCGCCGTGAAGCTTCTGCCCAGCAAGAATAGCTATCCGACGAAGAACGGCGCGGATTCTCAGTATTTCCAGAACATGACAAGTTGGTTCAGAGGTGTTATCAAGCTGGATGAGCCGAAGATGTACGGAGAATTGAGTCCAGATAAACTCCAGGATCAATTGGATGAGGAGATTCGTGAGAGAAAAGCTTCATGCTTCAGGAACTTCATATTGATCTTCCTTTTGCTCCTTCGCGGCATGGCAATTGATTCGAGATTGATTATGAACTACACGGGAAATCCTTTGAGACCTCCGACAAGTAAATTGTGCAGAATTTCCGCGAAGCCAAAGGTGGAAAAGCCGTCAAAGGATGTCAAAAGGGTGAAGATAGAGCAAAAGCCACTTCCTGTTAATGGAAAATCGCCTGAGAAGATGGATGAGAAGAGGAAAACTCGTTCCCAGGTGAAAAATGAAGCATCACAGAAGCCAAATCTTGCCAAGCTGAAGCCTCAAGTGAAGAAAATTGAGTCTCCGCAGCCTTCAACGTCGCGCTCAAGTCGCTTATTTGCTCCGGAAGCTGTGATTCCCAGGAAGCCCAATCTGAAAGCCATCGACAGGCGTGTCTTGTCCTCAGACAGCGATGACTGGACGAAGGAGAAGCGACAGAAGGAGAATAAGATGGACATTTGGGTGGAAGTGTTCTCGGACAAGGAGAAAAAGTGGCTGCCGATCGATTTGTTCAATGGGAAAGTGGACAAAGTTGAGAAGCTCATCCAAACGGCCACTCAGCCAATTGCCTACGTCTTCGCCTGGCATGCCGACAAGACGGTGAAGGATGTGTCGCCCAGATACTGTCCACAGTGGAATACGGTGACCAGGAAGTTCAGGATCGATCGGGAGTGGCTGGAAGAGACGCTGCAGCCGTTCGTGGGCAGGAAGACGCGCAGAGATAAGGAGGAGGACAGAGAACTGGACAAGATTCATCTGGACAAGCCTCTGCCGAAGACAATCACGGAGTACAAGGATCATCCACTGTATGTGCTGGAGCGACACTTGCTCAAGTACCAGGCGATCTATCCGCCCAATCCGCCGCCTCTTGGCTACGTGAGGAACGAGCCTGTGTACGCCAGAGAGTGCGTCCACACGCTCCACACGCGCGAGACGTGGCTGAAGCAGGCGCGCGTCGTGAAGCCCGAGCAAACGGCCTACAAAGTTGTGAAGACACTTAAGTGGGACAAGGTATTTGTTTTGAGATGAGGTTTGTGGCACTGTTTGCGGATGATTAGAGAATATTTGCAATTAATATTTACAGTACTCGAGCACTCTGCTGAAAGACGTGCCTTTGGACATCTTTGGCGTGTGGCAGACCGATCCCTTCGTCCCGCCCGTGGCCAAGGACGGCATTGTGCCGCGCAACGAGTACGGCAACGTTGAGCTCTTCAAGGCGTGCATGCTGCCCAAGAACACCGTTCATCTGCAGCTGCCCGGCATCAATAAGATCTGCAAGCGACTCAGCATTGACTGCGCTCCGGCCATTGTGGGCTTCGACTTCCACAATGGCTGGTGCCATCCGACGCTGGACGGCTTCGTGATATGCAAGGAGTTCGAGGACACGGTGCTGGACGCGTGGAATCAGGAGCAGGACGAGGCGGAGCGCAAGGAGGACGAGAAGCGCGACAAGCGAGTGTACGGCAATTGGAGGAAGCTGATCAAAGGGCTGCTGATTCGCGTCAGGCTCCAGGCCAAGTACAATTTCAAGGGTGAGGAGGAGGAGATGGCATGAGTATTGGACTTAAACTACCTCTCGCGATGGTGCAGTGTGGATTTTGTCAAATTTGCACAATAAATTCAACATGAACTTTTGTACAAATGTGTCTCAAAATCACTTCTGCTCGATTCCGTTTCTGCCTTTTCCTCTGCGTTTTAACGAAGAATGGTGACTTGGCCGACATGAGCGCAAGGTAAATAAATTAATTACAGCTCGGAAAAGTATTGTCCTAACCGAAAAAGAGCGAAATTGTGCGATTTCCCTGATTTTCTTTGCGTTTGGAAAAATTCTCATTTTGCTCGAAAATTTGCCGCGCCGTGGCCAACATCTGCTAACTTCACACCGGCGCCAATCGACAAACAATCGACATGTCGCTTGTTTGTCTCAACGGACGACAGTCTCGCGACTGTCGCTCGACGTTTTTTGACAGCTTTCGACGGCTCGCCATCGGGTTTTGTCCCAAAAGCAACGCGTGCTGTCAGTTTTGTGTTCCAACCTGAAGGCATCGCAAAGCAATAAATTGTCGTCTCTGTGTTTTTCTCTCGGAAATCCACTACAAAAATCCCGGAAAAGATGCAGGCACACAGCAAAAAGCGCGTCTGCTACTACTATGACAGTAAGTGGAGAATTTCATCGCTGCGCTGGACATTTCTCTAGAAAATTCCCAAGAAAAGCGGCAAAGCCGCTCTATGGTTGCTCGATGGCGAGAAATGATGAGCGTTATGCTGAAAAAACAGTGATTTCGTCTTGCCACGAACGACTCTCGATGAAGCGATGCTAAATAATGATATTCTCATGACAATTTCAGGTGATATTGGCAACTATTACTATGGACAGGGACACCCGATGAAGCCGCATCGCATCCGGATGACTCACAATCTGCTGCTGAATTACGGATTGTACAGGAAGATGGAGATTTACGTGAGTGTGTTCTTGTCCGGGAACTTGTGTTCTGTCGCACTACTTGTAAACTTGGTCATTGCAGAGACCTCACAAGGCGACAGCCGATGAGATGACCAAGTTCCACTCCGACGACTACATTCGCTTCCTGCGCTCAATCCGTCCGGACAACATGTCTGAGTACAATAAACAGATGCAGCGCTTCAACGTGGGCGAGGATTGTCCGGTGTTTGACGGCCTGTATGAGTTCTGTCAATTGAGCGCCGGCGGCTCCGTGGCGGCGGCCGTGAAGCTGAACAAGCAGGCTTCGGAGATCTGCATCAACTGGGGCGGCGGCCTGCATCATGCCAAGAAGTCCGAGGCCTCGGGCTTCTGCTATGTCAATGACATAGTGCTGGGCATCCTGGAGCTGCTGAAGTACCACCAGCGCGTGCTATACATCGACATCGATGTGCACCACGGCGACGGCGTCGAGGAGGCCTTCTACACCACTGACCGCGTGATGACGGTGAGCTTCCACAAGTATGGCGAGTACTTCCCGGGCACTGGCGATCTCAGGTAATTCATTCGTCTCGTCTGTTGCAAGAGCAACTAATTTTGCTAAATTTCTCCTGCACTCTTTAGGGACATCGGCGCTGGCAAGGGAAAGTACTACGCTGTGAATATTCCGCTGCGCGACGGGATGGACGACGAGTCGTACGACTCGATTTTCGTGCCGATCATCTCGAAGGTCATGGAGACGTTCCAGCCATCCGCCGTGGTGCTGCAGTGCGGCGCGGATAGTCTGACGGGTGACCGGCTGGGCTGCTTCAATCTGACGGTGAAGGGACACGGCAAGTGCGTGGAGTTCGTGAAGAACTACAACTTGCCCTTCCTCATGGTCGGCGGCGGCGGCTACACCATCCGCAACGTGTCGCGCTGCTGGACGTACGAAACGTCTGTGGCGCTGGGCATCGACATCGCCAATGAGCTGCCGTACAACGACTACTTCGAGTACTTTGGGCCGGACTTCAAGCTGCACATCAGCCCGAGCAACATGACCAACCAGAATACCAGCGAGTATCTGGAGAAAATCAAGAATCGCCTCTTCGAGAACCTGCGCATGCTGCCGCACTCGCCCGGCGTCCAGATGCAAACCATTCCGGAGGACGCCATCAAGGTGAGGATTATTTCTGTTCAATCAATCTATTAAAAGCCTCAACAACGCTCTGAACTAACCGGAAAGCAATTTTTCTACTCCTCAGGACGAGTCGGACGATGAGGACAAGGCAGACAAGGATGTTCGTGTGAATCAGAGCGACAAGGATAAGAAAATCAATCCCGACAACGAGTTCTCAGACTCCGACACCGAAGGTGCCGCAGCTGATGGCGGTCGCCGGGACAATCGCTCGTTCAAGGGCAATCCGCGTAAGAAACAACGCACGGAGAAGACGCCAGACGGGCCGAAGGTCGAGCCCGTTGAGATCAAGGATGAGAAGAAGCCTGAAACTCCCGCCGCGGTCGAATCCAATCCGCCAACAGAGGCCAAGACGGAAGTCGCCTAAGCGCGCCCGGAAAGTCTGTCACACTTTTTACCACTGGACAGAAGATCTCTGCATGTCTGTTCGCCAATGGAATTCTTTTGTAGTTTATCACAAGTGTAAATATCATTACATTGTGTGTTTTGTGAATTCTTGCTATAGAATAGACACTTTCTCTTTTAGGCATAGATTCTATTTTTACATGATGTTATTGTCATGCTCTTCATCAAATAAAATATCTTCAATTTACCGTCTAAAGGAAGAGTTTTTGTGAGTGCCGCACAAGGTTGAAAAGCTTTCAGGTGTTCCAGTGAAGACAAAAAGCTAAATCTCAAAAGTTGAGCTTGAAATAGTTGATTTTTGTGTATTTATTCGCTCAAATTTTAGCAATTCGGTTGATGCACTAGCGAACGTAGCGGCGACCAGTCTAAGTATTGATGTGTATTTAATTACATAGATGTCGCATCGTGCGAAACTACGCAATTTCAATAATATATTTCGTGATTACAACATGCAACATGCAAATAACATTAAAATTGAGAAATTTGCAGGCTTTTTAGGCCACAAACACATTTTTATTTTGCACGGGAAACCGGATGAAGGAAAATCCATGGAAGTTGAACTTCATGTTCTCCTGCTAAGTTCTTATCAGATTAAAGGAATAAATTTAGCACAGTATTTAGCGGAAAAAGAGCAGTAAAATTAGCTTAAAATGTGCTGCAAATTGATGTATTTTTAACACTGTTGAGTTTCCTCCATCGTCCGCTGCGATCGCTGACCAATTCCATTTCAATACTTCAACTTAGCACTTTTTGCTCGATTGCTGCTCAATTTTTAGCTCAGTAATCTCAGCACTTTTTAGCTGAATTAACTGCTTTTCTTTTCAACTATTTTTTGGCTTGCTGGGCTAATAGAACCGACGAAAACGATATGTTTTCGTGTCTGGTGGTGAAACACATAATTAACTGGCTATCATTTATTACAAAAATGAAGAAAATCCACTTTGAAGAATACAATAAATTGTCAGGCTTCTGCTGGTGTGATATTTGCTAATTCTTTTCACCCTCTAATTTATAGCATTCGCGCAGAGCTGGACGAAGCCCGCTCTATGTATTTGTTGCATAAGAAAGAAAAAAGTTCAAAACCATAAATATGGGGGGGCGGGGTATTTTGGGCAATCGCGGAACGAAATTCCCCGTTTTATATAAAGCTTAGCAATCGAGGAAATTTGCCGCCATGAGGAGTTCCAGGGCAATTTCGGGTGCTATGGGAAATTCTGGAATCTCTGTGGAGCTGTTGGTGTACCTCACTTTGTACGTGAAGTACATGCAGACCTTCTGCAAGACGTGCGAACTGCAGGAGATCCGGAAAAGAGAGAGAAACATGAAGAATAGTTTAGCTGAAATGGTGAAAAAACCACCGCCGGGAAAACTCACGGAATTTCACGGAAATTAACTTCATTTGCCTCATTCTCAGCAAATTGACCGGGTCCAGAGAGCATCGCCTTAATCGTTCCGGATGTCAGTGCGTGCTCGCGTTTGACAATAAACTCGTGTCCATCCGATGAAATCAGCTTCACATACATGGCATTTGGACCTTCGCACCCGCCGTAGGATCGCTCAATGCGCTGTTCTTCCATTTCTAGGCATGGAAAATAATAATGGGAGAAAGAAAATATTAATCATCGCGACGTCAATCACGAAATCATCGAACACACTCCGGAATGGTCGGAATTTTTCATCGAGATTTGCCACAATTTCCCACTATTTGTCCAACAATCTCAATACTCACTTGATGTATGTACAATTGGGGGTTTACTTGACGTAAAAGAAATGCAAAATGCGAATAAGATTCAATTGCTTTTCCACTAGAAAGAGTGCGTTTTTAGAAAACGGAGTGACGCTGTGACAAGTGATTTGACAGTTTTGCAACCGGCTCGACCTTAACCTCAAATCTGAGGGCTCTTTTGGCTATATTTTCCATCGCTGGGACGGGATTGCGGAAAAGTGAGTTTTTCTCCTCTTTGCACACACTGTCACACGCAATACAGCAGCAGCTTCTGCCTCTCACGCTGCAGGATGAGTGATTATCCGACCAAGGAAGAGCGGAAAGTGTGCTGGGGCAGCAAGGATCGATACTGGGAGTGCCTGGACAAGTATGCACCCGGACACAACTCCACCAGTGACGATCCTGAGCCTCAGGCGTGCATTGAGCTGAGGAAGTTGTACGTGAAGAGCTGCCCGGCTCAGTGGGTGGTGCACTTCGACCGGAAGAGGACCTACGAGAAGTTCAAGAGGCGCATGGAGAAGGGCTACGAACCACTGGACAATCCATCGGTGAAAGGATAGTGAAACATAGGCCAAAATTCTGTACAGACATTTGAATCATAGAATAAATTATAAGTAACACGCATTATTATGCATCAAACTGCTGCCCACTCATGTCCACCTCCATTGACACTATATGCCTGCCGGGCACCATGACCAGTCCGAGAATCCTCTCCTCGCCGCCCTCCTCCGTGTACTCTGAACACATCCCCAGTATCACGTTGGCATCTGCGTCCGTGCAGAGGAACACACCGATCAGGAGACGTCCGTCAGTCATCACGATGCGGAAGTTTCTGTTCAGCCACGACTTCAGCATGATCTTTCCGGGTGTCAGAGGAGCTGTTTTATACGGCGGATCGACCTGAAAAGGTGCAAATATCTCACAATATACTGTCGTTGCACTTTTCCCTCTTACATACCCTGCTGTGCAGATCGATATTCCTCTTATCATTCTCAGAGAGATCCTCGTCACTGGAGTAATTCATTCTCAAGCCAATTCAATGATTTTCTTCCCGGATCAACAAAAATACAGGAACAATTTATAGAAAATCCGCTAGAGGCGCGCACTCCGCTGATGTTTTTGTTTGGTTTTCGCGGTTTTTGGGTTTTCACAGGTGCAACGAAGGAAAACCGTTAGTTGAAGTCATTAAAATAGCAAAAAAAAAACATTCCAATAAATCAACAATAGTTTTATTAACACATTTCCTGCAGCTTTTCTTCCACTTCTTTCTGTCGTGGCGGGAATTTTGCATGCACGTTGACGACAATTTCCAGTCCTGGATAGAATTCAACAGTCGCGTCCAAGATTTTCTTCTCTCCGATGAACTTTATAACTTCCGGAACGGTGAGGGCAGTTTTCGTCGCCTCCTCCTTTGTCATTGCATCGAGAAGCCGCCTGGGAAACTTCCGAACGCCCAATTCCACTCCATTGACCTTTGCTGTGAGATCCAAGTGGTACTCAGCTTCCACTTCTGGCCACCTCTGATGCAGGACGTCCTCATCCCAGGCCAAGAAGTCATCTTTCTCCACCGCCGACGCGAATCTCACCCACAATTCCGAGGCGAAGTGCGGCGCCAGTGGAGCAAGCATGATGATTTGCGTGGCCAGAGCGCGTTGGTACTCTTTGCCAGACTGCACGACATCCGGAGGAGCGCGTCTGATGGAGTTTGTGAGGCCTTGCATCTTGCTGATGGCCACACTGAGTTGATGAGTGTGTCGGAAGTGAAAAGTGGCGCCTGTGATGTAGTAATTCCTGGCATCCCACAGCTTTGCCTCCTCCTCAGCGAACTGGGCGCTCTTCTCCACCTTCCCATCCGCCCGGCGACTCAGGCAGAAGTCATGAACAGTCATCCAGAGACGCTTCTGCCAGTTTATCAATCCCTGGAACGTTGCTCGTGACCAATTGCGGTGGGAAAACGGCGCCACATCGCCTAGAATCACCAATCTGGTCGCATCCACGCCCAATTCCTCAATCACATCCTCAGGATCCACGCCATTGAGCTTGGATTTGGACATTTTCTCCCACGTCACCACCACAGGTTTCCCGGAAACCTTCTCCATCGCCTTGTTTCGCTTCTCATCGATGATTTCCACCTGAAAAACCCCAAAAATTGGTCAAGAATTGTCCAAGAAACTCACTTAATCACTCACCTCACTCTCAGGAAGATACTTTCCAGATCCTTTGACGCGGAATGATCTGCCCATGACCATTCCTTGGACGAGAAGACGCTTGAAGGGCTCTTTCTCAGGCACCAAACCGATGGAATTGAGGAAGTGATTCATGAATCGAGCGTAATAGAGATGCAAAACCGCGTGTTCTTTTCCTCCAATGTACAAATCCACAGGCATTGACTTGACCAGATCTTTTCTGAAAATCTCCTGGCTGTTCTTAGAGTCTAGGAAGCGCAAAAAGTACCAGGAACTGTCCACAAAAGTGTCCATTGTGTCTTTTTCCCTCTTTGCGCCGGGATTTTTGCACTTTGGACAGGAAACTTTGTCTTCCTGCGTATTCTCGAGAGTCACTGGCAGGGATTCTTCAGGAACCGGCACAGGACCACAATCTGGACAGTGAATAATCGGGATTGGAGTGCCCCAAGTTCTCTGTCTCGAGATTAACCAGTCTTTGAGCTTTGAACTCACAGGAAAGCCTCCAATTCTCAACTCTTGAGCCTTTTTCAACACTTCTGCTGCTCCTAAATCTTCCGGGAGGCTTTCAAGTGTGGGAATTCCCAAGAATGCATTGCATTCTGGAGGAAAATCTTCATCTTCTTGGATGACAAATGGGATTTGTTGTCCTGTGAAGGGATTTTGTACAGCTAATCCATCGCAATTCTGTGCTAAAGGATGATTCTTTGAGATTGCCACGAAACTGGACATTTTCACGAGTTCTGGCTTCTGTGTCCAGACACTTATGGTGGAAATTGGAGGTTGCTGATCTGCTTGATGACTGACCACGGCAAAGTCAAAGGAATATCCGTTACAGTCGCCAATCCAGTGCTTCTGGAGCTTCACAATATCTCTCCAATCTTCCAAGATCGGATTGTCCAGGCCTTCAAGCAGTTCCTTAGCAAATCTTGTAGTTCTGATGAACCACTGTCTCAAGAGGCGCTTCTCCACCTTCGCTCCTGACCGCCAGCTGCATCCGTTCTCGTCCACTTGCTCATCAGCCAAGACAGTCTCATCCACAGGATCCCAGTTCACCAGCGCCTCCCTCTGATACGCCAATCCCTCTCTGTACAGCCTCAGGAAGAGGTACTGCGTCCACTTGTAGTACTCCGGACTACAGGTGGCCAATTCCCGGCGCCAATCGAAAGAACATCCCAGTTTTTCCAGCTGCTGCTTCATCTTCTCAATATTGCTCTCTGTCCATTTATCAGCCGGAATTCCGCGCTCTCGCGCTGCATTCTCCGCCGGCAATCCGAAGGCGTCCCAGCCCATTGGGTGGAGAACATTCTTCCCGCACATCCGGAAGAATCTGGCCATGGCGTCACTGATTGTGTACACCCGGACGTGGCCCATGTGCAGATTGCCGGAAGGATAGGGAAACATCGACAGCACGTAGTGTTTCTCCAGATGAGATGTCTCATCGAACTCTCCATGGCTCACAGTCTCTCGCCAGTAATTCTCGATGGATTTCTTGGTTTCTGTGCTGATCACACGTTCCTGGAAAACACGGAAAACATCCGGAGAACGGATTGTTTACCACGAAGATGGGTTAAGATGGTTTACTCACGTCGATTTCCTTGCAACCCACTGATAATCTACGCAGAAATTTCCTCTGGATACTGTGGTATATTTTCCTGACCCGAAATCCGGCAATCATTGTGGAAAATTGCGAAAAACGTGAAAATTCCGCACGAAGAGCAAAACTCAGCGACTTTTTATGGGCAACTGAGCGACTGTCAGTTGGTGTTATTTATTCCCGCGCTCTGGTTTTGCCTCTCTTGCTTTTCTGCGATTTTTCTTGATTTTCCACTGTGATGGAGTACAATTCATTCCACATTGCTGTATTGCAGCTAATATCTGGCTGCGGGACACTGGAGAAGGCAGAATTTGAGAGTATTTTCGAACAATTGAAGACCCATTGTGAGTGATCTAACCTCAATCGCTGATAGAATGTTCTTCAAGATGTTTTTCCCTGTTTTTCTTAGATTCTGAGGAATTGGACGTGTCCTCAGCCACTCCAGAAACAGTTATTGAGACGATTAATGAGAAAATCGCTCTATTTGATCTCTCAATCCGCCTGGTGAGGTATGAATACACCGATGAGGAGTTCTACATTTACATCTCAACGACAACCTCTCCGGAAAGCAAACTGCAGAATCTCTACACAGAGGCGGAGATTCAGTACTTCCCACTGCTGATGAAGGAAATTATCACTTCAGATGAGTACTGCATCTCCTCAATTATGGCCACGAATTTGATCACGAGGCTCCCGAAGCCGATGCCACAGACACGTTCGGTGGAATTGCTGGACGAATGGAAATCCCGCGGATATTTCACTCAGATTGGGGAGAATGTCTTCCTCGGTCCCAGAGCAATTGAGGAGTTTCAGGGCTATATAACGGCGAACTATCAGGACTTTATCAAGGCTTGCTTCCTCTGTCAGAAGACAGTTTTCAAGGAATCGTCCTGCAAGACATCCTCCTGTGAGGCTGTTTTCCACGCCACTTGCATCAATAGATACCATGAGAAATCCCCCAACACTTGTATCGCCTGCAAGAATGAATGGGCTTGATGTGTAGACACAAAAAGTCAGTTCTTCCCCTTTTCTCGGCATGATTCATCACCTATTAGCATTCAAAGCCTCTCATCTCAACGCAAGAAAGTACAGCAATTCAGTCTCTCTCAACTTCTCAAAGCATTCACTCTGAAGTATTCCCACCAAGATGAAGAAAACTGCCCTTATTTTTCTTCTGCTTGTCGCCATTGTCACTGGACAGGAGAAAAAGTGTTCAGATGTTGTGCCTCAGCAGGATTTCCAAGTAGATTTGGTGAGTTTGTTTGCCTTTGTTTGTCCTTTTGCCTCTTTCACATCCCTTTTTCCAGTTCCTGGGCAATTGGTATGTCATCCAGCAGACCAAGACTGAATCGCGCTGTGTTAAGCATCAAATAACGCCGCTTGAGAAGGCTGGAGAGTATCGAATCTCCCAAGTTTCTCCGCATTATCTGCTAGACAAGCTTCACGTGCAACATGAACACACTTACGCCGGTTTCCTGGTCGCTGATTCTGTCTCTCCGGCCCGCATGACCGCTCGCTACGCTCTCAGCTTTGGCGACGAAGCCTACATCATCGTCACAACGGATTACGACACGTACGCCGGTGTCCTTGTGTGTGGAGCTTTGGGCCCCGCGCGGACCGCAACGATTCTCTCGCGCACACAAAGCCTGTCCGAGCAGCAACTCTACGACATCCGGCAGAAGCTGGCGGGATTTGGGGTGAAGATCAGTGATCTGAGCACGATTAGCCACAAAAACTGCCCCGTGGACGGCATTGATGGCATCAACATCAAGATTGGCCACGATCTGCTGTATCCTGACAGGATCAGAGAGTCTGCCGAGGGCATTTTCAAGGACATCGGCCAAGCTGTTGGCGGAGCGCTGGAAAATGGAGCGAAGGTGAGTCCTTTTTCGAGGTGTTTCAAGAGATTTTTCTCATGGATTTTGCTTTCGTTAGTTTTTCAATGGTTTCTTCAATCGAAAATCGAGAGCCTCGAGGGCAATTTAAGAGGAGTTTGGGAGACAGCTGAACGAGTCTTCAATGAATTAATATGAAATGATAGCAAATACTCAGTTTTGAATTAAATTTTTTGTACAAATGTTTGCGATCTTTATTTATTTCCGCCTTTGACTCTTATCATTAGTGAATTTATATGAAAATAATCAAAAGCAGAGGAAATTCTAAATATAGAAAGATAAGCATTTTTGCAAGAACACAATTTTTGTACATTTTATTGTGGTTATAATTGTGTAATTTATTGAAAAAAAAAACAGGAAAATCCCTAAAATTCGTTACAGTGTGCAAATATATGATTTTTGGTGCAAATTTCACAGTGAAAAGTGGCAAAAAGTGGTCATTAATTAATACTGAAAAATAGCTTCAGACTCTTAAAACTCTTTTCGCCGTGGAAATGCACTCGGGCAGTGATTAAAATGCATGAGAACAGAAAGTCAATTTCCTGCCCCTTTCCGGCCACCCTCGCCGGCTGTGTGGGTGGCCAAAGAGTGCACATCCAATGCAATTATATGCACAACGAGCGAGGCAGTAATGAATTTTTAATTGCTTGCACTGAAGACATCATAAATCACGGCGAAAACTGACATTCTGCTGGGCTATAAAAGCTACTGCTCGTGAGCTTTGGGAGGTCAAGCTAAACATGGGTTCTTTTGTTGCTGTTCTACTTCTGCTCACGTGCACTTTGGCTGTGGCGGAGCCCCTGAATCGGGGCAAGAATGCCAGGAAAGGGAGCGCAATGGCGCCAACTGAGGCGCCGCTGGAGAAGCAATTCTTCGGCGAATCCTTCCAGAATTTCCCTCTGTTTGGAACGGCGCCAGAACAGGAGGAGATTGAGCCGGAGCCCAGAGATCTACTGTGCTTCTTCGGTGGGAACGGAGCTTGTCGGCTGCTGTGCCAGAAGATCTACAAACGCACTGGCGGAAGTTGCGATTCCAACAACAACTGCGTCTGTACTTGAAGCACTCGAGAGAGTTGAATAAAGAAAACAGTTTGTCTTTATTCTGTACAATATCTAAAAGTTTATTCAAATGCCGATTTTACAAATACTTGTTAGGTTTTTTTTCTTTTTTCATATTTACTCACTTTTCTTCTTATCAAAAGTTATAACCAAAATCTTTTTTCACTCTTTTTTCTTCTTACATTTGTATCATTATTATTCTTGTCTTGCAATTTGTCCCAGTTTTTTTTTTTACTAAATAAAAGAGGTTTTGCTTGAGAAAAGAATTAAAATAAAAGTACACGATAAACCTTATAAAAATCCCCTTCTAACATTTTGATTAAGTCGGAAGTCTCTTGGCGCTTACGAGTTCTTACAGGAGTCTTTGGAGTGTGATAAGAGTTTTTTGTATCTTTTTAAATTATTACTTAAAAATTCTTATTCGTCTATAATTCTCAATAGAAAAATGTGGAGAAAGAGTCTAGTAAAAAAGAGTCAATAAACATTGATAAGGACTTAAAGATTACACTTCGTTGCATGCTTAAATGCCTAAAAGGAAGAATTCCTACTCAAAGATTGGCAATACGTGGCAAAATGATTTGTCAACAGTCCTCGATTGTCGAGGCAACTTAACGCGTTAAATCAACAGTTGATTTGATATGATCCGGTCGTTCAAGAAATCAATATGTTCGCAGTCTGCAAAGAATAAAGCCATTCCTCCTCGAGCTTTCAGAGGTAATTCATGTGTTGGCCTGGGTTGAAACCTGATCCACACCGTCTCGCTTCACGAGATGATGCAGTTCTTATTGTCCTTGTCCGCGTCGCTGCGCTCCACCGACTGCTTCTTCCGGCTCCGGGCGCACGCCAGGGCGTCGTTGGGCACGTAGCTCACGCGCACGCCGCCGTAGTGGCGCCGCTGCGGCAGCTGGTACGCCTCGTCGCTGCTGGAGGAGCTGGAGGAGCAGGTGGAGCACACGGAGCTGGCGTCGGACTCCTCGGGCTCGGGCTGCGTCGCGGGCTTCCTGGACTGACTCAGTCGGTTCTCCGACTGGCTCTTGCGATGGCGCCCTCGCCGCCCCGGCGCCTTTATGCGCGTCTTGTAGTGACCTGAGTAGGAGCGCGAACGCGGCAGGGAATCCTGGAAGTCACCCTCGAAGCGGACACCCTTGACTGGCTTCTTGGCTGTGGAAAAGACAACAGATTTTACATTCAAAGCTTTCCTTCCATTTGAACATTTCTCGTTCTCACCGATTGAAGTCTCCTGCTCTTGCTGAATCTCCGAGACATCTGGCGTTGGCAGTTCCGTCGGACTGGCGACGGCGTCCGCCTGATCCAGTGCCTGAACCACTTCTCCAGCCCCCAATTCCGGCATCGAAGTGGACACGCCGGCCTCGTGCTGCTCCATGAGGAAGTGCGCCGTGACTGGCGGCGGATGCCAGCTGTCGAAGTTCAGGTCAGTCAAGTCCAGAGGTTCTCTGCTCCTGTCGCGGCTCAGGAGTCGCTGCAGGTCCGGCGACTGGGTTCTGGCCGGCGAGTCTGAGCCCTTTTCCAGCATCTTCTCGAGATTTCTCTCGTGCAGCACGCGATCCAGCGCCCTGGCGCCTGGATTGGGCGACGCGGCGGGACTCTGGGTGGACGTCGAGGGCCCCGCCGGTGAGGGTGCCTCGTCGAGGGTTTTGGGGTTGCGCTGCAGGGCTCTGCGGCCCATCTTGGGACTCCTCACGATGCGATTGGGCGAGGATGGCGCGTGGACGGGCGACGGTGGCGTGGAGGATTCATTGTCCGAGGCGGGCTGCGCTGGTCGCGCCCGTGGACGTGGCGGGGCTCTGAGTCCGGGGCCGGAGCTGTCTGAGGGCGTCGGCGGTTCGCCTTTGCTGCACGCGATGCTGCAGTAAATGGCACCGCGGCGGGGCAGGAAGGGACGCCCGAGGAGGGAGCATCGGCACGTGTTGCAGGAGAAGCAGTGATCCGTGGCGTGCCAGTGCTGGCCATCGTGACTCATCTGGCCCTGATCCACGCCAATTGGCTCCCCGCAGTAGTCGCAATACTCAGCGAACATGGCATCGAAGCAGGGCAAGCAGAAGGGCTTTCCATCTCGCATGATGTACCTGCGGAGGAGCCGAAGAGAGTGGGTTAAACGGGGTGGCTTTTGGCTACGAAATCCAGGAATTTGGCAATGAATATTTCATGGGCGTCTCAATTCATGCATCAAGAGTCAAGAGGAGCAAAAAGGACCTCCCTTGAGGATTGCCACTCACCTCTGTCCGCCGAGCTGCTTGTCACACTCGAAGCAGGCGAAGTGCTTCATATGCCAGGCACGTCCTTCCGCTTCCGTGCACTCGTCCGCGAGGATTATCTAATTAAAACAGACAGAAGAGTCAGATTAGCAAAGAGCCGGGCAGAAAAAAAGCTGGAAAATTCTCTCCACTGTGCATTAGCTTTTTTTTCCTTCCACCACAAAAAGAACACGCGGAAAAAGAGTCCTTCGAACAAAAAAGGGAAGAGAATGAGAATGAGTGGGTTTATTTTTCACTGGGAACAAAGTGAGAAAAGATATTTTCTCTCTCTCCCCACATTTTCATAATTTTGCGGGAGGACGGAAATGATGGATGTTTCTCGTGTCTCTCGCTGACAAGACGTCTGGTAATTAAGTGAGTTTTTCTTTCATTGAAATTCAGAAGAAAGAAATATAATTACTTGGACTTTTGTGGGTGGAGGGAAAATTAAATTTCGCACGTGATGCAGCGTGAAGAGAGCAAAATCTTATCCTTAAAGCCACTGCGGCAAGTTGTAAGACCATAAATTGAGTGAAAGAATGTTCCAAAGACTAGAACTTCACTTCCCATTAGATTGATTTGTTCCTCTCTGGACAATTGCCAGGAATTTAATCAAAAACCCAGAAGGAGATTTTACGACGCTCCATTAAAGATGGACTTTGCAGTTCGGATTCGGGATTCCCACAAGCACGTAGTCTTTCTCTCTCTCTTGTTCAATTGATTCCAAGACAGACTGACATGGTGGTGGTGGAAAAGGGGCGGGAAATTAATGAGAATTTCCTCTTCTCATCACCAACATTTGTCAATGAAGATGTTGTTTCGGACAAAGAGGCGAATTTCCACTTTCACTTTGAGCCCTCATGCTGACACATCATAACACAAACAGGCCTCAGATTAATGCCGTGTGTCCCTGTCACAGATATTAGTGCGATTTATCATTTGCCTGTCCGGACGAAAGTGATGCGGGAAATTCCGGAAGGGATGCGCGCACACATATTGAAATGATAAATCGCACGAATGCAGTTCTGAAACGGCTCCCCACATCAAATCCCCGAGTGGTTGTGTCCCCAGGAAACCCAAAAAGGCCATTAAGATTGGGAAATCGATGTCCTTAGAGGGATAATCACGACTTTTTCCGGCCCCTTCGCATTCAGACACACTTAAGTGAATGGCAAATGCACCCCTTTTGGGGTGGAATCCTTTTAGTTTCGTGGTTTTTCCCACTTAATGCTTACATGTGGCAATCCAGAAGGACAACGACATTAAATTCGTCAATATTCTGGAGTCTAATGGACAAAAAAACAGATCAAATTCTCCATAAAACAGACAGAGATTGTCCTTGTCGATATATTTCTCCTTTGAAATAATCTTCCTCAAATTTTTAAGCAAATTTGTACTTCCAAATTCCTAAAGCCCCTTCAGTAAACTCGAATCTCCCTTAAAGAAAAGCAATTTAAGAACTCCTCACAGGGAAGTTTCAGGGACTACGGCTCAACAAATTGCCCAAGATAAACTCGGAAAAGTAATTAGTGATGAGCAGAAGAGGAGAGAAAAAAGAAATCCCGCGGGAAAACTCACCTCGTCACAGGCTGAGCATCTCGGCTTGAGCGTCTCAGCGTGATGCCGGCCGCAATACAGGCGTCCGTCGCGGTGGAAGTAGATGAGATCCACGAGGAGCTCCTTGCAGACGCTGCAGACGAAGCATCCGGGATGCCAAGTGGCGCTGGGCCCAAAACGGGCCGCGAACACCACAATATCTCCTTGAGACGTGGCTTCTTCGCACTGGAAAGATTAAAAATTCATCCCTCAAATTATGAAAATTAAAACTTTCTCTTTTTTCTCTCTGGCAGCGCGAATTCACGTGAATGAAAATTTAATCTTGCACACACTTTTTTAAAGAGGGTGAGATTCTTGGGATGCCCTCTTAATTGTGATTATTACTTTCCTCGCTCGGGTCTGAATAATTCAGGAATTTTATCCATCATGCTTCGTCGTTTCGCTGTTTTTAATTAATCAAGCCCCGAAGGGAGGAAATTGTGGCGTTTTTCCTTCACAATGGCGAAGTTTCCATTGAACTTTCCATCTGGCGAACGAGAGAGAGAGAGTGTCGAAAGCTGTCTCGTTAGGCGGACAATGTGCGGCATCCCAATTATCTCAATATTTTCCTTAACATCGACACGGAGACTTGGCTTTTATAAAAGCTTCTCTCGCCGGAAAAATAGCTTCCGGGCCAAAGAGCGAAGGGGTGAATAAGTAATGGATTACGAAACTCATGCTTTCCCTGCTAAAGAGACGTGAAAGCCCCTGTTTTTGGGGACAAAGAATGCTCGCGAAAGCTGCCTAGAATCACCCAAAGAATGCCTCGACAAGAGCATATAATGATGGGAAAAAGAAAACTTTGCCACCCTGGGAAGAATGGGCACAGGAAGAAGGGGAGTTTTTCCCCAAAGTAAAGTAGGAGAGAAATACGTGAGAATCGATTGGGTGTAATTTGGCATTCCCGGCAGTTCTCCATTTCATCATTTCCATTTTCCTGGTGCTGGAGGAAAGCGGGCCGCCCAGGAAAAGAAGGAAAGATTTATTGATTTTCCCCCCCAAATGCAATTCTTCCAAGGCGATTTATGTGTGTGAAAGTGGCTGAAAGAACGGCCAAAGAATGGTTGTGAATTGTGGCCACAGAACACTGGATACAAACACAGCTAAGTCCACCCAATCACTCCCCCTGATAATAATTTAATGATCCGTGATAATTAATTTGATGTAAATCATCCACGAGACCCGAAATCCTTCCATCCGCGTCGGCATTTCGCGATTGAGATGCCAAATGTGATTAGAATTTTGAGGAGTTGGAGGCGCAAAAGCCACATTAAAAGTAATTGCTTCTGATGAAAAACTTCCGCTGGTCCCAATCTTGCTTAATTGCAGGAAATTTGTCAGGCGAGACTTTGAGAGTCTCCTTGGCGATCGCTTAATGTTTCTCTCCCCAGTTTTGGATGTGAATATTCCCTATCATTCCACTCCCCCGCGCGCGCTCAAGCCAAAAGGGAAATGATGTACAATTAAATTGTATTTGGCAAAATGAAAAGGAGATTTAAAATTCAAAGTCGTTCTATTAATTGCGAAAAGGGCTGAACTTGCCCATTAGCCACAAATGCACTCAGAACAATCAAGCGGACAATTTCCAATGGAATTTATTGAAACACAGTGAGCAATTATCTCAAATGGTGTCCCCGAAAAATCCCGGCAATTGCTTGAATGCTCCAATTAAACCCCGTGAATTCAGCAGAGGGTGGAATTTTTGATATTCTCTGCACTTTTCCGTCCATATGGAGAAATTCTGCGCATTGTTTTGTCCATTTATCAAACCCAATTGATTGCTTTCGGGCTGTTTTTTTTTTGTTCGTCTGCACAGAGCTTTTTAATCACACGCTTTTACAACTAATTCAACATGATTAATTCCTCCCTTTGGCCTGAATGGCTGTCAGGGTTTGGGAAAATAGGTATATATTTCACCGCGCTTCGGGCGGTTCTTTGACCAATGGCAAAAATCCAAAGCGATAAGAGGACTTGACGGAGTGAGCATGAAAAGCAAGAATTGTGCATGTTTTCCAGCAATATTTGTGTCTGTTGACTCAATAGGGCAGCCCTTCTTCCTTCCCTGAACCACAAAAAGGTGGGCCACAGCCTTTCACGAGAGTCAATGCGGTGTTTTCCCGTCTGTTCGGCGGGGGTGGAAATGGGGAAAAACATGCTGAGGGCTTCACTCGAGACGAAGGGTCGATTTTAATTAATGGCCATTCAAAAGGGAGTCCCTTTGAATAAGAAAATCATCATCGCGCGCGCGATGAATTTGGGGAAATGCGAATTTATCTCGCGCGCGACATGGAGAAGAAAGGCTGTAAATCTCGTTGGCCTTCGCCACCCTTTTTGTCGCCAGTCTGCATGGGACAGATTTATCGCTGCCTGAGCCGTAAATAGTGGCCCAGCATCATAAATCGACCCCACAGTAGAGTCATGGTGGTACTTACACCCTCGCATTGTCGTCCGGCGGACACTTGCTTAACCGTGCCGCGGCCCAGGGCCTCCCTTTTGCGCTGGGCAGAGAACAGCCGCAGCTCCTTCCGCTCCTCGTCCGTCAGGGAGTGACAATAGCGCACCTGCAAAAGGTTTAACAGTCGAAATGATCACTTTTACAGCAAGTTTAGGACATTTTATTCTATCCTGAAAATCTATTATGCAATAAATTGTTGTGAAAATCAATCCAACAGAGGCAGAAATTGCATTAATCAAGCAATTAATCCTAATCTTCACAGCATCATTGAGTGTTATTCTCACAGTTTGTGCTTCTGCGATTAATTGGCACACCTTAATCAAAAATTTAGATGTAATAAAATTTGAATGTAACTGTCATTAGAGGCCAAATCCATCCCTGCAAATTTTGCCAATTCTCTCTCTCACTTCGCCCTTGGTTGTTTTCCAAGAAAGTCTCATTAAAAGTTTCTTTCTCAAGATACATTCTTCAGTTTAAAAGTTTCTCGTGAGTGTTTTTTTCACTCGAACAACTTCTCTTCGCTATTAGTCATCGGAGAGATTTGAGATAAATCACAAAATGTATCATTTTTCTCATGAAATGGCCTTTTTTTTTTTCTTTGGAAGGGAAAAAAGATGTTTCCAAACTTTAATCCAAAGATTTTGCGTTATGATAAAAGAAAACATACTGAATTGCAAAGTGGAAAAAAGATCGTTAAGTTTATAGAGTTTTTAGCGTTATATCGCGACGGGCATCTTGAGAATTTCGGTCTTGTGAGACCATCAGAGTGAATGCGATAAGAGGCCAAATTGAGTTAATGCGTCTTGTGTTCTCCATCGGCAAAACATGCGTTATGGCGCTCGCCAAAGTGTCTTTACCTCGTTATCGTGGGGCGGGAGTTGCTGCAGCAATTGTCGCACCCTGTATCGCTCACCCACGCTGTTCACGTACGGGATTTTGTCCTCGGGAATCTGCGAGAAGTAGAGATGGACCTGCAGAGAAGAACATGGACGAAATTAGTTGTGCTGCCAAGGAATGGGAACGCTTATCGTGGCCTTTTTTCGCCACAGCGCCGTAATGAAGGGGAGGACATATAAATAATCGTCTGATTCAATTAACTTGGGACCATATAGAGCGCACTAATGTCCGGGAACTATTGCAGAAATGACTGGAAGTGCAACTGCCAAAAGCGTCCCTTTAAGGGATGGCGCAGAAGGGCCAATGAGGCAACGTGTCCGGAAAAATAATTGAACAATAATGCATTTAATGTTTTTAGGGCTCTGTCCCTCCACTAAGGCGCCCTCTTTCGCCTGGACTGTGGTCATAAAGGCGGATTAGGCATTACCGGAGAGTCTCTGAGCACGTCTTTAACGACATTGGGTGAAAGTGTCGAAGAATTATGGTCGCCGGTAATGAAAATATTAAATTTATTGCGATTTTCACTCAAAACTCCTCGTCTTGGTCATTTTATAGCCGAATCCTGAGCTCAGGGGACTTCTCTGATTGCGTCCATCCCTAATGCTAGATATATATATATAGCGAAATTGTACTGGAAAATGCAAATACAATCTCCATGAGGTAAATTTATGGTGACATAAAATATTTTTCGCATAAAACTTTTATTGGTAAAAGTTAATATTCTCAATAGTTACAATGTTTTCAATTTATCTCGTGCTGCTTTTGCATATTACTTTCATGCTTCAACGCCGGAAAATTTATGTTCTTAATATTCTTTTGTCACGCTTTTATTGTCTGGCCAGAATGCGTTTCGGTTGGGAGGTAAATTAAGAGAGAGACAGAGAAAAAAAAAGAATCTTGGTCATCGCAAAACGGTGAACTTGCGGCAAATTTTCGTCTCTTGAGAAGCGTGTAATTGCAAAAATTTACACATGATCAGTCCCAAGAGGCTAATCAACTGTTGTATTCGGCGTCCTTTGGATTTGATTACATTTTGCGCGAGAGCAAATCTCCGAGGGAGAGATAATACAGTCGGAAGTGGTGTACAGTTCAGCAGAAGTACTTAAGAAGTGGAAATGTTGAGAAATCTACAATAATTCTTTCCTGCGTGCTACTTTGACTGATAAATCATCCAGATTCTATGGATCTCCTTCGATTTTCACGCAGAAACAAACGAATTAATCTTTTTCTAGGTTATGTAACGAATCAAGGACAGTTTTAGTGAATAATTCGCATTCTAGCACATAAATTCTACTAGTCTTTGGCAGAATTAAGCATTTGCAAGCAAATAACAATAAAAGTAGTCATTTAGACTTGGAAAATGTCCATTTAGACAACTTTATGGAGAATTTTGACAGTGAATCACCAATTTTAAGATAGTTGGTAAATCATAAGAGATGATTTTGTGATCTAAAATGATTTCAAACTGAGTTTTTGAAGATCTCTTAGTTATATTTTGAGGTTATGGTCGAAAAAATGTCCGAAAACGGCGATTTTTTTTTAATAGAAATATCGAATTGAAACTTAAAAGATTCAGTCTAATGTGGAAACAGACTACAAATTTCCTGTTCTAGAAATTTCAGGTAAATTGAGAAGTGTTTGGAAGTGGTGTACAGATTCAAGGCATATTATCTCCCCCTTGCAAATCTCATGTAATGGCATTTTATTCAATAACGCGACTCAACTTTGACGCTGTATTTGCTTGCCCTTCGGCCAAATTCACGATTCAATCGGGGATTGAAAGCCAATTGAGGTAATTAAAACATTTATTAATCCACGGGATGAGTAAGCAAAGTCGGAGATCAAAGTGATTTCTCTTCATGAGAGAGAGAGAGAGAAAGAAAAAAAACCTCTTCAGCACTAAAGTGTGAATTGATTGAGAAGTGCCTTCGTGAGCAGTAAAACCTTTTAGGTCGATTCAATAATCGTCGAAGTGCACATCCAAATATCAGCCTCGATGATGGATGAATGTCGCAGTTTAATGGCAATTAATGACATCGCGCGTCTCGAGCCAGACTCTAATGGGGCTCTAATTCCATGAAGACTCCGTGAAGACGCCAAAATTACAACTTTCGCTCCTCCTCATTAAACTCTTTCTTTTTCCCGCGAACTCACCTTCCAAACAAAGTTAATTGACTTTCTTCTCGGCGTCGCAAAAAAGAAGTGCCTCAATTGATAATGAGGGAGAATTTACACTCAAAGACGCAAATGGATTGATATGCAAATTGGCGGCATTTCTTCTATGATATATTTCTAGGTGAACTTTTGCCCTGGATTAATAGAGACTCTAATAAGTATCTTTGCAATATATAGTTTGCATGAGGTTCATCAGCAAAGTCTGCAACTCATCACGCGTGAGATAAGAACTCTCTTTGCACATCACTTTCTCCTCAAGTTACCGCCGAGTCAATGTTCTCAGAGTGGTGCTGAAGAGGCTTTTGCAGCTCCTGGCAGACCTTCCATCAAGTCGGCAATCAATAAATTCCGCTCACGGCGGAGAAAAGATCACTGATTTATCGATTGAATTTTTCTGGGTGTGGATTTTGCATGTCTCAATCGCTAATTATCATGGTCGATCCTCCGCGAGTTGCTTCATTAAGTCAAAGAGCGCGAGTGTCAGGGTTGCAAAGAGGCCATTAATCAATGGCATGTGGTGAGTGTAATTAAAATCCCGTCTCAATCGATAATTTACAGTCACTTTCTTCCGCGGAATGTCTCCTCTTCTTCCTCATCTTCGGATGCATTGCGCGCTAAGGGTGGGTGTGAGCGCGCTTCCCTGGCTATGTGCAAATTGCGGGAAACTCCCCACAAATCTGCTCTGTGGTGGTGAGGATTTCTTCACGCTTCGCCTGTAATTTGCCCATTAAAATGTATACAGAAGAGCCCCATTGAGGCGCTCCCGCCCAATTTCTTCCTCAGCTCCCTCTCGAGAGATGTGCAAATCCCGGTTTTTTTGCTCTCCACACTCAATGTCACCATAAAACCACCGATGCAAGAAATAAAACAATCCCATTGTGCCGTGAATAAATATTATCTCAAGCAAAATTGGGTTCAGAGCCGAAGCTTTGGCTAAAGTAAATGTTTTGCGTTGGGGATTTTCGAGTGTTTGCATCTTCTGATGGAAACAATGCACAGAAGGGATGCAAGAAAATCCCTTCACAGTGTTTAGGGAGGGTTTTTTGTTACACCCAAAGAAGATTCAACCACAATTTGCTCTTGTGTTTCCTTACAAATTATCCCTGTGTGTCTTTCTTGTCCTCCGATGCTGGCTTCGCTGACTTGAGCCCAAGATAATCCATCAATCATAAGAAGTTTCGAAAGGAGAAAACTTAGAACGCAATATCAATAAAACTTGTTGAACACTTGGGCGATGTAAAATCTGTTCCAACTTCCAAAGCATCAGGTTAGAAATCCTCCCTTAAACACTGTGCGTGGTTGGAAATTTTTTAATTAAAATAATTGCTCCAATTTCTCTCCGCATTTTCTATCCAGTGAAGACCACTTGAAAGTGGAGGGAAAAGAAAATGTCGCAACTTTTAATTGCTCTCCAACTGTAAAACTCCCAGTGTTTGCTATTTATAAAACTTCCCTCTTTCCTTCAGACCTTCAGAAGCCAAGTCAAAAGCACTCCCGCCGTCCATAAATACTCCCAAGGCGAGCACAGGAAGAGGAAGAGGGTGTCTTGTGTGACATTCTTCCGCCGAAGCCCCGCACAGAAGAAGCCCAGGAGGATTTATGTGCGCCTTTATGGTCTCTATATTTTCATAAATATCTTTATGGCGATAGAATCGAGCTGTGGTCAAGGCATTTTTTCACCCTTCAAAACACTGCCTTTTGTGTCACAGCGGACAAAAGGCGCGTTATTCCACCGCGGAGCATAATAATTTATGCAAATTCAATTTGATAGAATGATATCGTAAAGTAATTAAATGGAGAGTCTGCGCGAGATGAATAAATGCAAATTTTTATTGTCACTTTACAACACCTGCGGAAAATTCTTCTCTCTCTCTTCCTCACACCTCAATTGTGTGTGCAGAAAGTGGCTTTACAGGGGATTATATATTGGGTGAAATTTATCAGAAATTGTGTCATTGTTTGCAAGACCAATAAAGACATTTATTAGTGACTAGAGATTCTCATATTGAGAGAAACCAAGTGTTGATGACGGAAAGTTTTATTGATTCATTAATTAAAAGATGAGTCTATAATGCGGATATGTTTTATTGTAAAAGGCGGTCTTGGAGAGAACTAAGCTCGCCTTTAATTTGCGCAAAAAAAAACAAACGAGTATCAGAGGCAGAGAAATACTTTTAAGACTTCTTTTACGTCCTTTAAGTGACTTTTGAGATCACTTCCTAACACTTCTGAACGCCTCTGAAAACATTATTCAACTGTTTCTTGTACTAATTTCTAACTTATCACATTCTAATTCAGGTTTTTTCCATCTCAAAAGGTTAAAGTCCTTCATATGTTTAGATTTCAGTTTGGTAGGAACTGATTTAAATTTGATTCTGACAAATTTCTGTCTTAATTTCCTGGTTTTCTCTTTGGAAAATGCCTGAATTTGTTAATAAAAGAAGCTGCTGTAGTGCAAATATTCCTTCTAAGACTCCCGTGAAGTTGTACATCACTTCCGATCATAATATCTGCCCCTATTTGAAACAAAGCGCTCACCTGATCGGGTCTGAGTCCTGGCGGAACCCAAGTGTACTCTTCGAGGGCGCAGCCGCTGTCATCGTCGGACTGCGAGTGTCTCTGCACGTCCAGCTGATGGCCGCCCACCAAGTGGCCGGCGTGGAAGCCCGGATGGAAGGTTTGGGCGTGGAAGGGCGGGCCGGCGGCGGGCGGCGGCGTGCCCTTTGGCGGCAGCGGCTGCAGCTTCGGCGCGGCGGACGGCGAGGGTTGGGGCGATACGAAGGGTGGCGGTTGCTGTGGATAGGGCGGCGGCAGGTGGTGTGGCGGCGACGCTGCCGGCGGCGGCACGTATCCACGCGGAGACGAAGAGGCTTGCTGAGGATAAGACATTGGCAGCGATCTTCTCACCGGCCTGCAAAGAAGATTTATTTGCGTGATTAACACATTTTTCCCGTGCACTTTGACGTGCGCATCTGAAATTGTTCTTATAGCAAATGGCTCAATCTGTGCAGAGCGTGTGAGAAAATGAGGCGAGCACATTCAGAGATTAGGAGCAATCTTAATTGCCAGTGGAAATCTTCATAAGTCACCCAAGTGGCTCTTAACCCTCTCAGCAGGGATTTTTCTTTGACATAATTTATGCGACACACACGGAAGATATTTGGAGATAACAAAAAAAAAAACGAACCTCTCATCCGGTTAATTACGGGTTTATAAGCTTGCTCTTAGCCCAATTCGGGGAGATTGATTGGAAAATGGGGGAAAAAATGGCTTAACATTTAAAGCAAATCGTTAAAATGTCTGAATATTTGATGAGGTTTGCGCGAATGTGTGATGATCAGGGTAATGATTATGGATTCCAATTGGATTGGGAAAAATAAGACTATTTATCAAAATCCGAAGAGCACAAGACTGAAGAACCGTAAGAGAATTCCAAGATCTTCTGATCTAAATCAAACTCTGAGTGTGTTTTCCATCTGATAAGCCAATCCAATTTGAACATGTCTCAACGCCTCTCCACATAATCCAAACACTCTCGATCTGATTCATCTCTAAAAGCAGGAAGTCGCGAGAGACGCACCGCAAATGTTCAAAAGCTTGAGAAACTATGCGTGTGACATCTTTTCGCGGTCGAGGCATAAATTTCCGTGGAATTTCCACTGCGGCGCGCCAATTGATAAGGGCGATGCAAGTGTGTGTCTCAAGAACATCCTCCGGATTGTGGCACCGCGCGAACGAGATCATCCACTTTGGGGATGCGGGAAGGGTTAAGACATCTTGCATTTATTTCGGTACTTTTCGCGCAATGCTGGTGCACTCAAGACATCTCAATGGAGAGCGTTTTCTAGTTCATTTGCTAACGGCAACTGTTATCTCGCCCCTTCTCACGTGTGAAGCCCATTTGTCTCGCGATCGAGCTGACTTATGCGCTGCATTATGGAAATTTATGGCGTGAGCATAGTGTAACGGGTGCACAGAAGAATACAACAAATGGTCCAGGCTCGGGGGCGCGGAGAGGCGGTGCCAGTTAATTGGCCAGGTCAACAATGGTGTGTCAACAATTTAGTGAGTGTGTCACACAATTAATTACTGCGCCGAGCACTGCCATGCTCAGGTTGTAAATCGCTGTGATTTTGCATTTGGACGCATTTCATAAATGCACTTCTCCACTGCCAATCTCGCCGTCCAGTTGCCAGCACAAAACGCCCAGTGGGTGGCCGAGAGACATACGGAAAAATCCCCCTTCGGGTGGAGTTGATCAGGTGATAGATAAAGGATGAAGATTCAAATGTGGTTTATTTCAATATAATTATATGCTCTTAATTCCACAATATTTCGCAAATTATAATAAATCTCTTAAGATTCTGTGGTGTCCTGGATAGCCTCCGTTTGTCCTGTCGCACTCTGTCCTCTCGTTCTCACGCTCACTCGACTCACTTGTCACACCGTCGTCCGCCATCTTGTCCCGCTGCGTCAATGTCAATCCGATCCTCCTTTCCCCGCTCCCTGCGCCCTCTCTCCGCCACCACAGATTCCATGCGATATTTCTGCAAAAATCCACTTAAACCCGCTTTTTTCAGCGTCTTTTCCGACCATAACCTTAATAGAAAGTTTTCAGAGTCAAAATCGTAGTCAACAATACTCTTTTCGAGGTTAGGTTTGCTTTCAACACAATTTGCAGTGTGTCTTAGTATTTTAGATTCAAAATAGCAATGTTTATCACAAGAAAATGTTTAATTCTGCCAATGATTAACAGTTTTCCCGATTTGCGCATAAGAATTGATGTTGCGAAATATTTGCTAAATCTGCCCATAATTCGTTAAATAACCTAGAAAAGGATTGTTTTATTGCATTATTCAAAAGAAATCCGAAGTAAAAGAAGCGCGCAGGAAAGGAAGATTGTGAGTTTTTGAACACTTCCACTTTTTAAATACTTTTGCTGAACTTTAAACCACTTTTGACTATATTATCTTCCCATTGGTTTATTTCTATGCCTAAGAATATTACAAATTTACATGTTTTCTTCTAGCGCGAGCCTCTAGGCCTAGGGTTTCGTTGTTCTGATGGAAGTGCTCTGTCTGCAGGTCTTCTTTGCGAATTTCGTTCATCATCACAGTCTTTCGGCACTACCAATAAATTGTTATATGATTTACCATCCAGAATAGGTGGTAAAGATATTGAGAAATTTTGACGGAAGTCTGACAGTAGACAACATATAGTTAATCCACGTGTTTTGTTACGAAAGTTCTCTATTTGTGTTTTATTAAGCCCCATTCTTTCGCAATTATCAGGACATTCACGACTAAAATTAGAATTACTCGAAATATTATTCAACGTTATAAAGACAACTGCTGAGGAGTTCCTTGGCACGAATGCAACTTTCCAAAACATCTCCGGCACGGCAATCACTTTGTTTTCTTGATCCAGGTATAATTCTTGTAGATTGTTGTTTTTCATGGCACCAAAAGTTCCAGTAACTACGTGTATATTTTCCTTCGTTCTATTTCCAATGCATCTAACTTTATTTTCAACTATTCTCCAATTGCCATTATTGATCGTTCCAAACATCGGAGCAGCGTTGATGTAGACATATGTGGCGTATCGTTCAGTGGAAAATACAAAATCCGCATTGGGTGTGAAGTGGGCGCGTTGCAGCCCAGGCGTTCCCCAATTGAAATTTATCGGTTTGAAATCGTGGTACAATGCATCCAGTCTAGTATTCTTATAGATATTTTTACCAACACGAAAGGAATTTTGTGAATTCCTTACGGAATCTGAAATTCAATTGTTAATCACATAATTCTTGTTTCAACTTTTTTGATTTTTACTAACACATTATGGCTTTTCCATTGACAACATGAGAAGTGTAGATTGTCGAATAAGTTCTGCTGTTGAAACAAACTTCAAAAACGTCCTGTCTTATATTTCCATTAATTGTTGTAATATTGTAACCCACTTGGTACTTAACTCCTCTTCTTCCTGCACAAGATGCGTTTGTTGGAAAAGTATCACTGCTTGTTATATCTTGACAAGTTTTCATCTGCAAGTTAGCGAAAGATGTTGCGTTTTCGCAAGTGATTTCCATTAAAGTGGTGGCTAGATTTCCTCGAAAACCGTATTCACAATATAAATAGATTGATTCATTAATTCTAAACTTTGTTGTGTTTCCAGTGGGAACAAAAACTTCCAAAGTATTATGTCTATTAGTAGTTAGATAAATCGGAGATCTCTGCCGTGGTAAAAAATCCGGAATAGTAAAATTACATTCCGTTGCCGCTTGAATTGACGAAATCGTGGCCAACAAGAGAAACAGAAAGACTTTCATGGTTACGCGGAAAGTGACTGCAGAACAAGCGAACAGACTGTCTTATATACGGTGACTTTGTCGCTTTTATTGGCAAATTAATGAATATTAATTTTGCACAACAATGCAGAATAATTGTAAATATTCAAAACTCAAGTCAGACACACAAACTGGGGTCAATTTCATTGTATTTTGCATCAAGGGGAAGACAAAATGCCTTAAATCTGTACACCACTTCCTAACATTTTCAGCACTTGAAATATTTAGACTGTTTGCATACTAATTTTCAAGTAAAAGCACTTTTTTGCGTGTCTTTTCCAACCATAACCTCAAAACATCACTAAGAGATCTTTATAGACTCTGTTTGGAAGCTTTCTAGATCACAAAACTGCTCTAATTTGCTGATTCACAGTCAAAATTGTCCATAAAGTTTTCTAAACAAACAATCTCCAAGTTCAAATCAATATTTTTGAGGTTATGTTCGACATGAATACAATTTCTAGAGTTTTTGGCATCAAAGGTTCAGAATACCAACATTTAAGGCATGTAAATGCTAAATTCTGCCAATGACTAGCATTATTTCGGACTTCAGTGTAAGAATTGTTGCGTTAAAATTCGAACAATTCGTTACATAACCTTTAAAAGCATTATTATGTTTCCTTCTGCGTAAAAATCTAAAGAAATCGGAAGGATTTTGATAGTTTTTGACAATAAAAGAAGCACTCAAGACAGGAATATTCTAAGCTTTTGAACACTGCCACTTCTCAAGACTTGATTTTTCATCTGTTATCTGGAAATTCGCGCCGTGATTTGAGTGATTAACTCTGTTGAGGTGCTGTGAAATGAAATCCGCGCCGGATTCATTCATTAATCATTGTGAGTGCAACTGCAGGGATGGAGACATCAAATAATTTCACGAATTTCGCAATGGGCTCAATTTTAATATTGCAACTCGCGCCACCCTTCGCCAGTGACGCGGGAATTAATGTAAATCAATTGATTACAGTTGGCATTTTATTGCACTGTCCGCCACGTGAAAAGTCCCCATCGCAAATGGAAATGTGATTTATGCAAATGAGTCGGGATTTATTGTCTGTGCGTGGAGAGTCCTGATAATGGGCTGAAATAACACCGCGCGCTGGTCGAGAGATAAGGCAAAAGTGGTGGAAAAAGTTGACTTTATGGTCAGGATGAACCCAGTGTGTGTGTGGGTGTGTTTTGGACTCTTTGTAATGAAGTGGTTTCGTGAAGTCTCGCGCGAGTTATTGGAAATTGAGCAATTTCCAATCAAATAAAGACGTTTGCGGAGATGAAGAAAAAGGCAATTCAATGACATCATCGCGCGTCATTTTCAGGTGTTTGCAAATCTCTCGACAATAAAGACCTCTCAGCATTGCGTTCGCTTTGAGTGTTTTGTAGACTTTATGACATGCGGTAAAAAATGGATTTCGAAAGCAAAAACCTTCAATTACATTTGACTATATATTCTTCCTGTATTCATCGCGGGTTTTTTTTCGCTGTGAAGCGAGAAATCAAACGGGCGAATGAGTCGTTAAAATGTGTAGCAAAACATATGTGGATATTCCTCACTTAGTCGCCCCTTTGAGCCACTCGAGAGGGAAATCCTGTTTTCAGCCAATATTTATGGAATTTCACATGTAATTTATAAGCATTTTCGTCGTAAAGCGCAGATAATATCATGCGTAATATCTCAGTGTATCTCATGCAAAACTTCATGCCTTCTGCACGTTGTAATTGCAAAAATCACCATAAATTAGTCATTAAAAATAAAAGTGCTCTCATAGCGAAAGTCACAGAGTGAAAGTAATATCTTCGGGACACTCTTTGTGTGTGTCTTCTCGATGTCAAATTTACCAATTTATAACATACAAAAATATGACAAATTTCGTCTTGAACTGTGAGAACGACGAATCCTCTCAAGGCACGTGAAAACATTTAATTTACATATGAATTTGCCCAGCAACTTCACAGAGAAAGAGAGGAATTCTCAACTGTAGACACTTTATATTTATTTTGACGATGGAGAAAGAACTCCATAAATACTGAGTGCAAGCATAACTTTGGCGTTAACACTACAGGTGGCTCGTAAAATGTCTCTCTGGAGCCCAAGAGAGAGAGAAGAAAAGTCACACTGGCGAACAATGCCTTCGAGTGGAGAAGAAACGACAAAGGAATGGAGGAAAAATTATTGACTTCTTCAAAAATTTCTGCCTTAATATTAATAATAAAAAAGTGCTGAAATTCTGGCCTAATCATAATTGCTAATAAGTACATTTAGAAGGTATTTCTTCCCGTTCACATTCCACTCGTGTGCAGTGTGATTCAACACTTTCTTGCCCAGGTAAATCCACTCTCTACACCTGTTTCACTTCTCCCATTCCCTCGGTTTCGCTCTAAATGATGTGACAAATAGACTTTTTGCTTAGATTCCTCACTGGCTTCTCACCTCGTCTGGATGGCGCTTTAATTGCCCGCCAGGACAGTTACTCGAGGGACTTCCTGAGGACACCGGCAGCATAATTGGGAGCACTTTTCCAGCTACATTCCCCAGTAGTGTAACTGGAAAACTCTTCTCCAAGAAATGCCCTCATTAGTGAGTCAAATTAGTGCGGCAACACAGTTTTTTTTCCCTCCCAAATATCACGCGAAAATCACATAATTCTCCTTCACGCACGAACAACGCATTGAATAACTCCCATCGCACCTTCGCAATTGGTGGGAAAAGGTGATCAGGAGGGATTTGGTATTAAATTACAATTCAAGCAAATTCAAAGTCTCATTAATATGCTTTGTTTATCGTGTCTTACAGTGTCTTACAAATTTTTCTCTCGTCACCACCTTATCGCGAATTCATTTCACGTGCTCTTCTGCGTCTCTCTTGAGTGTCATTCAAAGAAAATCATAAGGGCATGAAGAGCTGAAGCGGCGTCAATCACAAGAGATCACCATGATGGCATCTTGTATGAAAGAGATTGAAATTCATTCCAATATGAATTGTTCAGTGGTAAAAACACGTGCCGATGAGGAGTTAATTTTGTCATCGATCCCATAATGCGCTAACGACGGTTCGGAGCTCGCGAGGAATTCATGCGCCTCACCGTGAATTTCTTCTGTCGATCACGAAGGGTGTGTTGTGCGAGGTTGTGCAATTGACTGTGGCAAGAGAGCCTGAATAAATAATAATTGCTGTCGATGCAAAGTGAAACTGTTGTGCTGCTGCTGCTGCTGTTCTTGCAAATCGCATCTCGACAAAAGAGCGACAGAAATCGCCGCGAGGAGTCAAATGGCGAGTCTCGCGGAGTCGTTTCATATTTACAATATATAGGGCTCTCTTCTTGCGGCATTGGCGAAGACATGGAGAAACCCAGGCACGAGAGAAGAAGAGTTTCTTGCCTCCCATGGCAGCGCGCTTTGCTGAGGAAATCAGTGATCATGGCGCGAGATGAGGCAATGAATGTTCCCTCCACTGTCTCGAGATATGCTAATTTATTATTCCATATTTGTCATTTTCGCTTGTTTTCCGTAATTACACGTTGTGCCCTCGACAATTCATTCGCACAGGATCGCGATTGGAAGCTGGAAATTGAAGCGAAAAGAGATCGTCGGGCAGTTAATAGAGCTGCACAGACTTAATAACATCTCGCAAAGCCACGGATGAGCCTCGCGCGATCACAAATCCTCCGACAATTTGCAATTTGCATTTAAATTCTCATCCAATAGGCGCAACAGCGCTCCCCTTCTGTGCGAACTTCCGCGGATTTTTCGTCCGCATTCCGCGGAGGCGCAAGATGAGGAAAGTCACAACCTCGGTTCTTAATCTTCTGGTGATAAGAAAGATGCTTTTATGATCAGGCATTGACGCATGAGCTGTTTAAAATTTACATTTAACAGCTTTCACAACATCGCGGCATTGCTGTGATTAAATAACAAGTGTCTGTCCAATTATTCTGGGTGTTTATTTGAAATTTTAATTGGATTGTTAATGTTAAATAACACTAAAACAAATAAACCAGAGCACTGTTGAGACATGAAGTTAAATATTTAACAGAAAATTATTTCATAGCAATTTTTCCGCTTTTTTTTGCTGCAAAAGCAAGTCGACGATTCCCTCGAAAACCATCAAAAATTTCCTTTTGAGAGTTGACGTCTTGTGTATTGTTGGATAAATCTAGAAGTTCTTCCATTGCATACGAAAATATTCGGATTTTGCGTAGAAAATTTTTCATGGCATTTAAATTCGATATTTGATAGATTTCAGCTCTTTCTCTATTGACGTGAAAACTAATATAACGCATTTGAGTTCTCCTTAAATTATTGAGTGCAAATCTCTTGGTTTTAAGACGCTTTCTTCGCTTCAGTAATTCATTTGTGTTGTGAGATGAGTTGAGAAATGTTTCGCTGAGCATGAAAAATTCATGAAAACATCTAACACTTTGAGCAACACTATGTGGCATAATCTGGACAAATGGGCGATTTGCTGCTCAAGCGATAATGAGAAAATGAATTTTCATTGCACTAAAGATGAGAAGTGCATTTCACCTGAGCATTAACCAATGTAAATTTTACGATGTTGGTTATTCTTCGATGGCAATCCCATTACTTGGCGAGGAGAGCATTCCATCTCGCGATGTTCTTAATGATGTCTGAGGCTCTGAGTGTTTTGCCATCGCTCTCTTTTTGCCCTCTGGGAGCCACACAGAGTGGAATCTGTTATTAGAAAAATCATCTCGAAAATCTCCAGTGGAGCAGACGCAAAAAAGGCGCCCATCTAGATTAACTGTGTGTGCGCGCGCGCGTCTTCCGCAGAAATTGGAAGAAAACACAGCGACTCCCCATCGAAATGCTCTCACGTGCGATTCATATATAAGGTGACTCTCCGCCATGGCGTCTAATTGCTATTTAGCCACGGTGGAAAAAGGTGAAAATGACGTACGTGGAGAAATCTTTCACCTTTCGTGCCATCCGCGATCGTGATGCTGGGCTCGCAATTCATCTCAATAAAGTGACATGATAACTGCATTTAAAATATGCGCACAATCTTGTTGATTAAATGCAAACTTAATCAATGGCGATGCCGTTAAGCTTAGGCGTGCGTCAGCCGCACATGCTTATTAATCCGACAAAGAGACCTCAAGATCATCCCAATCACACAGTCGGTTTCGGGTGAAAGTAGTTCAGGAATGGGCGCACTTGGTGGGGATTTGCGCACATCCTCTGCAGCCCAAGACGCTATATAATGGCCATGATCAATCCTCAGACTCTCTTGTAGGGCTTGTTAAATTCCCGATGGCAAGAATACACCCAGCTAAGCTGCCAAGACACGCATTCGCTCCTAAACAATGCGCGAGAGTCGCGACCTGTGTGTGGAAAAGGAGCAGCGCAGAAGGCCAAACAAAAGTAGTACAGAATAAAAGCGTTTTGTGTTAAATGCAAACTGGTTTCCAGCTGCGGTGATTTTTTTCCTCCTCGCAATGGCGACTTTTCGCGCGCGCGTGAATTCGTCAGCTTTAAAAGCTCTCTCTCTCGGGTAATAAAAATAAATCAATTACATCAAACAAGCGGTTTTTCCAGGAGGGTGGAAAAGTCCAATTTATGCATTTTTCAAAGGTTGCGCTCATGGTGGAATTTTTGAGTGCCATGAAACTTTCATTGATCATTCCAATTCAATTAAAGCATCAATAATTCAAAGGGTGAGCGCGGCAGTGTTTGGGGAGGTGAAAAAAAGTGCGTGGCACAGATGAGGAGGATATTGCCAATTGATGGTGCGCGTTTTGAGTTCACATGTCACGCTGATGGCAATTTATCTGACTATGATTGCTGTAATTTCTGCCACCCAACGTGCTGATTTAGCTGCAGCAAATAGACAAATAAGTGGACTGCATTGCACGTCCAAGAAGTGGTAATTAACATTCTTCTGGCCACGACATGGATGGATTTCAACGTTGGCCTGTTCATTGTCCTTTTCCATTCCGTCAGACATGCAAAACACCGCAGTCAAAAAAGTGCCAAATCACTCCTGAGAAATGCAGAAATATCCGCTCAAGCGTGAATAACTTGGGAGTTTGCATGATTGGATCAGATCAAAAACATCGCACAGAAGAGAGAAGCGTCTCAAGCGTCTCTTTGTCCTGCGAAAGGAGGGAAAATGCGCAACCTGACAAGTCGGTGGAACATAATTAAAATTGACATAGTGGATGCATTGAGAGATATTTAAAAAAGTTTACTCATGTTTTTCCACTGCCGCAAGAGATCAAGGAGCAATTTTATGCACCATCAATTGCATCTCTTCTGCAAAATGTTCTGATGGCATCAAAATCCATCCGATTCACACCCTGTGGCCGTTCGAGAGACTCCTAAAACTGACACTCTTTTTGTGTGGTGAAAAAATTTACGACAGCACATTATGTGTGTTCCCTTTTGGAGGCTAAGAGAAAAACTCACACCTCTCTAATGTGTAAATTCAATAGAGAGTATATCTAAAATGATATTTAAGAGTGGCGGCAAGAAGTCATGACAATGGTGAAAGAGACAGACACTTTCTGCCTCTCTTTTGCCATTCAATTAATTCCCCTTTAATCTCCGAGTCATGGCGATTTTGAGTGATTTTCGCCCAGAGAATGGAGCAATTTCTTTCTAATACACTCCAATCAGGGCTCCTCAATTGTCTTCCGTTCAGCTTTTTTCCCACGCCTTCGGCCTCTTGGTGAGATCCCGCGGGAATTTGAAAAGAGGACGAGAAAGAGTGCCTAAAAGGATGATTGAAATTGATAGGCGTGAAGAGGATTAGCGTCCTGCAATCCGAAAAATCAATTAAAGAGGGCGTGTTAAGCCTTGCAAGGGAAGAATGATGGCCTAAAAACCTTCAGTAGGTCAGTTGAGCCCTTTTATCAAACCATTCAATAGCCTGAGTAGAGTGAATCCTGATTAATTGCCGCTGTGATGTCTAGTTTTCTGATAGACTAAATGGCATCAAGGGGGAGATAATATGGTCAGAAGTAGTGTACAGATCAATAGAAGTCTAAGGAAGTGGAAGTGTTGCAATTTATGCAATATTTGATTCACAGTTTTGAGTTTCTATTGATTATTTTACTCTCACAAATATATTTTTGCTAAGTTTCAATCTTTCTATACTTTTCTAGGTTATGTGACTGATTTATGACTAAATAATATCTTAAAGTAGAAATTCTTGCGCCTAAATTGAAAGTATTTTCATTTTATTGGTAGAATTGCGTAATTGTTAAATTACAATTGTTATAATTGTTATCCTGGAAGTCTCAGGAAGTGATGTATAGATTTTAGACACTAACTTCCCCTTGAATAGGATGAAACTTCAGTGAAACATCAGAAACATATTTTCTTTTGTGCTTTTCTATGTGCAATTGGAGCATTTAGATTTTTGATGCATGCATTGAGGCAAGAAATCGGTCTTAAAACCACTTCCTGGCATTTGTTCAATTGTATTTCCTCAATTTCTGCGTGGAGAAGCGAGTAAACGGCCGACCGCTCTTGCCTTCTCTCCAAACTCTCCGGCAAACAATTGTCCGAAGGTGTGTACACTTCGCGGACTCTCTTGCCAACGGACATATCGTGGGCAAAGAGCTGAGAAATCGCGCGATAGATCGTAAATAACATCATATTAAACATGAGGGCGATTCGCTGGCATTTGAGCGGCCAGAGCCAGAGCAGAAGGAATGATTGAAAACTGACATTCATTGCTAAACTCCCTCTGAGGCGAAGATGGATTTTTGTGAATAATTATCCGTCTAATTGCACTGCCATAATTCATCTAAGCCAAATTGACGATTTCCAGTGAGTTATAATACCTTTTCTGCGCTTCTGGGATGGAAATGCGCCATTCTTGCGCTCTGGGAAAATGCCCTCTCGAAGGGGGTTTTTTATCAAATAATCATCTCGCGAGAGAGGTTTTATGAAAATGTTTTGCCGTACTCGCGGAATTTCACCAACAATATGGTTGGACTTGAGTGGAAAAAATGCGGGAAGTCAAGCTGCAACGGCGGAGGATAATATATTGTCATCTTCTCGATTAAACAAGACATTCCATTTTACAGCACCTTTTTTCCCGCCACAAATCGCTTCTTGCCGTGGTAATTTTTTTTGCCGCTTTGGGATGTTTGTGAGAGAAAAAAGGACAGAGCAAGAGACACTCGACAGTACAATTTCTCTGCATACCAAGAGAACTACACAATGCCTCTGACATAATCTCAGAATCTCACATTGAAGTGTTTATTAATTTTGCTCGCAGCGATTAGATGGTATTTCTTACATGCGATCGAGAGATAGGGCCGCGATCACTCTCCCAATATCTCTATTTGCATGCACAGAAAGAGGGTCATTCTTCTGGCGTAGATTGGGCATAAAATTATGCTTTATGGCGCCTCCAATTAAGGGTTTCGTCCAGTTGAAATGGATGAGAAATGAGGCTTATTTCCTATTCCATTGCAAATTCACACCAATTAATTCAATAAATTGCAATGAATTGCATGCGCAAGTCGAGGCGCAAGTAAAAGTGCCTCAAGGGGTGATTCTTCTGATAATAAATAAGATGATCATGATACTTGGAATTGGAAGATGGCTGAGAAATGACCACAGAGAATATCGCGCGCGTTGGTGTTTGCATTCGAAATGCCTCTGCTCTAGTCCCCAATTCCATTCTGTTATTGGGCGAGATGATAACCTTGGACTGCGGAATGAGACAATCACAATTCCTCAATTTCGATGGCAATCAGCGCACAACACGCGGAATAATCTACGTTGAATATTCCCATCGTCGTCTCTGCGTGAAAATGCAGATGAGAGCGCACGGAGAGCCCAGAGTTCCAGTGGAAAATACCAACAATTCCTGACCCTGGCGCGCCAGGTGAGCATTTTCCAGCACCGACAATTCTTCATTCCACTCGCCCAAGTCAAAGTGGGAGGATCACAGAGGCCAGAGAAAAGCTCGATCTCGCGAGCGTGACGCTTTGATTTATGGCTCAAATTGAATTATTGCAAACAGGAGAAACAAGATTTCTCGCCATCACAGTCATTTTCCAGATCCATTTCAATTCTCAATTCCTCCACGCGTCCCAGAAATCAATTTTAGACGCCGATCGACACCATCAATCATTCGGTCTAGAATTCTTAGTTTTTTTTTATTTTCTAACTAGAAATCGGAGGGAAGCAATTACAATTACATGGAAATCCAATCAATCGACCATGATCGTGATCATTTGCCTAAATGAGAGATCCCGAGAAAAGTGATTTATCGGTGACAATTAATCCTGTTTTACATACTCAAATTCCGTGAGAAGATAAGTCTATTTTTCACCAGATTATCTCAAATTCCTCGTAAAATCGATTGTCATCGAATGTGGAGGGGAGAAAAAGAGTCATCAAAAGGCGAGAAGAAAGGTATTTTACATTCACCTGCCTTTCTAATCTTACAACTCTCATAAATCGATCCATTGAAATTGATTTTGAGAGGAATGTGGGCGATTTGGCGGACAAAGAATCCCATTGACGTGCGTCTTAAGGCAAAATTTTCTGTTTTTCTGTTGTCTAGGAAATCTCCTAATCTGTCTAATGCACTTAAGTTTGTCCAAAATCGGATCATCACAGCCCGAATGGCCAGAGATAAACTTACATTTCAGGCGGTAGAACTCTATCGGGCTGTCTCGGAGGGATTCCAGGTGGTTCACTGGGACAATAACCACTCCTGGATCTACTCAGCTGGAGCTTCTTCAGCTCCTCTTCGCTGATCTTCAATTCTTGCTGGATTTCCGCCGTGGAAATGCCACTGTCCCTGGATTGATTGCCATTGGGAACAGGATCAAGTCCGAACAAGAAGGGATCATCGAGTATTGTGACTCTGCTGTTGGGCTTTGTCTCCTCAACATCGGGCTTCTTCTTCGTGATCAAGATCCCTCTGTGACTGCGACAGGGGAAGATCACGTCTGGATCGTTGGAGATGTTGAGAGGAGGTGAGTTTTGCTGCCTGGCGGCCGACATTGCGAGCCTTTTGGAGGCCGCTTTGCCGTATATTTGGCGATAGTACTTGTCCTGGTCGCCATAGAGGAAGCACACTTTCCACCACTGCTTGCAGGCCAAGAGATTGGCCGTTCTAGGAATTGCTGGACTCTCGGCTGACATCGCACTTCAAGCACAATCCCTGTAATATTGACGGAGAGTGTTTTGCCCCAAAGATCTAGCCAGAGATATCTGACCAGACTCTAATGTGTGTATTTCCAAAGTGTTTCTCTGGGGGCTTTTTTCCTCAGTGCCATTTCCAGCCTCTTAACGATCACTCCGCGATGTGCCACAAGACAGAGGAAATCCATCTCTAATGAATAGTCTTCTGGGTGTCTCGCAATTAGCGGTAAATTTGTAAGATACGAGAAGAAGTGTGGCTGAAGTTCTTAAGCTTAACATTATTTACACAAAAGACTGTTCCAAATGCCTTTTGTGGTCGTGGAGAAAAAACCACAAAAAATTCTTGATGGTCCATAATAAAAGCTATGAATCCTTTCAAGCCTTTCCTTAGAGAGCAAATCTCTCTCTCTATTTAAATCCACAAGTCATGTTCAAAACCACCACATTAAAAAATTATTTGTCAACAGAGGCCTTTTAGTGTTGCGCGTGATAAAACATTTTACGATTTTCGCCATTTACAGCTGCAAATTAGCCTCGGCGGCCTCAGCGCTTTATTGGGAATTTCTTCATAAACCATTACTTTGCGATGATATCATTTTCTGGACAAGGGATTTGCAATTTCGATGCTCGTCTTTTAAATAACGATATTCTGGGGCGCCGAAATTGCTCAATCTCGCGGCAAATGTCTTGTAAAGTCCACTTGGAAATGGTTGCAAAATGGATGGCAAAAATTGAAATTTATCGGGAGGTTGAAAGGAAATTTTAATGATCATATAAAACAGCGGGTTTGCGTGGGTTTAACCCCCAAAATGTAATGGTTAACAAGTAAATCATGATATGGTTTTTTGAAAGGAAGTCTAAAATTGCACAGTTCCATTTTGAGGCTATAAATTTTATTTCCCCCAATGAATATGAATATAAATTTACATGTTTATCTCAGCTCAAAGTCACTTGAAATTAGTTATTTTTGAGCTGAAAGAAAACCGTTTACTGGAATTTCATGCTAATTAGTGGAAGATACTGATAAGAAATTATTGAAAAATTCGATGAAATCCCAAATTTCACGACTCTGAGTGGACATTAAGTCATTTAAAAAAAAAAGCCAGAGTTCTTGAGCGTCTCGCGGCGCGCGAAGTGCGTAGAATAAATATTTGGCTGTTTGGTAGAATAACTCACGAAGTTTCGATGATGGATCGAAAGGGAAAATTCGAGTCATGAGTGTATGGAGAAAAACAATTTTTCTAAATTGAGGATGAGGGCAAAAAAGTCATTCCGTATGCAGAGCTGTCAAGAGGCTGATGGCTTTTGGAGAGAGATGTTGAGGAATTTGTTGCCGAGGATAAACATTTGCCCAGCGATCTTGTTCAAATACACAACACTCGGCAGAGTTTTCTCTGGTTGAACTGACCATAAAATAGCGTGCAATATTGAGTTTCTCACAGGACTTGTTTGTCCTCTCTTGCCAGAGCCTCAGGGACTCATTTCACTTTGCATGATCAACCCCTTTTTGCAGGGGCTCCACTTGCGTGCTGACGATGCTGGCGAAAGGCTCAAATTGCACTGGAATTCCGAGGGGCTTCTCTTAGTGAACGCGTATTTCATCCGAACGCCACACTCTATTAACTCCACAGATTCACAGGCAATTCTCTTGCTCGAGGTGATCACAAATCCACCCACTCGAGCCACTCTAAATCCAATTCTGCCAGAGGAATGCACTTAAAGTCCCGAGCGTGCGATCAACAGGTGAGCCGCGGATGCGATCTCGGCCGAGTTACCTGCTCAACTGCCGTCTTGAGTCCATGGCAGCCGCGCAACGGCCGCGGTTTCTCACAAGAGAGCCTCTCTCTCGCCTTCTCTCTCACCACGAGAGCCGCAGAGAGGGAGAGAGTGAGAAAGAGAGAACCGAGGCAAATGCAGTAGCCTTTCACTCGTCAAGCACTTTCCTCAATGATGCACATTCTCAATGGAAGTGTTTTTGGAAATCGTTTTTGACAATGCGGAGATAATATGCCTTGAATCTGTACACCACTTCCTGACACTTCTGCAACGTCTCTGCAGAATTTTCAGACACTTCAGGCACTTTTGAGCACCTTTAAAGGCATTTTCCATCGCTTTTTAGACTCTTTTCTAATTTATCACAATCTAATCCTGGGTTTTCTATCCTACTTTTTAAGTTTTATCTATGTAAAATGCGTAGAAAAATTTTGACCATATTGTGAGGTTATGTAATAGGTTTAAATATTCTTTTTGGACTAATGAGTCAATATAACGAACATCTCAATGATTCTACAAGAAAATTAGGTTTAATCTCCCAGTTTACAGCACAAACCGCGGAAATAACCAAGAAAATAGACATTCTTCTAGAGTTAAATGAAATTTTTTGAGGTTATGTTTGACTTTAAGGATTTTTCTCAATCAATATGAAGCTTTACGAACACAAATGCTCAACTCTGCCAAGAAAAAGAGAAATATTTCCAGACGAAATAACATAAAGTGGATAATTTTGAGTGTTATTTAATAATAAAAATCTGTCTTAAATCACTTACATAACCTAGAAAAGCAATAAAATCGATTTTTTCTAAGCGAAATAACTGGGAAAATGCCTATATTCTTCAAAAACAAGCTTTGGCAGTGCAAATAAGTAAAATCAAATAAACAAATGACAGCTATTTTTGTGCAAATCTTGCGCTTCTGTTATCAGAAAACAACGCACTTCAAAGACAGTAAAACCGTTCGTGAGCTATTTACTTTCCCGCCGTTGTATTCTGTTTTTTTTCGTCTTCAGAGAAAATACAAACATTTTGCTATAATTTGAGTTGATCCCGGACATTTCACCTGTTCTGCCTGTTCCCATTCTTCGACCACTAAAAATTACCATTTCTTGCCGATAAATTTCCTGTGAATCCCCAAAAGTGGGTCCAGCGAATTCAGCCAGAATTTCACGTGGATTTTATAACCTCGCGAGGTGAATTTATTCGATGGTGAGAAAGGTGTCAAAGGGAAGAGTTTTGTTGGAATGCCAAACAATTGGAGAGTCCAAGTCTCAATCTTACGGTTAATCGATTGTCAATACTTTGGCTCCCGATGAACAGCTCATTAGCTGGATGTTCACAACTTCACCCACTTCAGTTGAGTTGGCGAATGGAGTGTTTTCCGCCCAGAAGAGCTCCCTGGAAGAACCATCTCTCGGCCATTATGATGCTAAAACATAACTGTACCCCACATAGATGATGGAATCCATGATTTGAGAAACATATTCTGGCAATTGCCATTAAGAAGGCCACTTTATTGCCGCCAATCTCGCGACTCCACGATGGTGGAAATGATAATCAGATTGAGAATCGCGGTATTTGGTATTTTTGCTCGAGCACTTCTTGCTCGGAATGCTTCCAAGATAAAGTCAGCGCGCTGAAGTGCGGCCAATTGGCGCTGTAAATGAAGATATCCAGCATGACAAATAATAAAGATTATGACGGGATTGATTGACTCACTATCAACTCATGACACTCAGTGAGATTGTCTTCGGCTGGTGAGTTGTAAATTGCCTTCGGAGGCGGATTCAGGAAGTCCCAGAGAGTGTCAAAAGAGAGTTTTATCGAGCTAGAATGTCTTATAAGCCGTGTGCGTAATTTAATCTCGCCTCGTCTCTGAGTGTTTCCCAGTTATGTCTCAATTTATGAACCCTCCTTGGGAATGAGAGTGTCGTGCCGTCCAAAAATGGCCCCTGGAACTCATCTCTGGCGAACGATCGAGCGTAGGATCGCTCGAGATGGATCAATAAAAGTTGACCGAGTGGCGAAACTTCTCCGCTGAAGAAGAAGCCCCCGAAGAAAGGCATTAAAGCTGATGCGAGAACACTGCTAAAGACCAAGAGAATTGCCCATTTCTTCGTAGTTGTCGGTGACCCCGCGATCGCGTGTTGTGGTGAGGAGTTCAACACAGTGAAGACGTTTTCTGTGCGCGCGGTGATATTGTAATAAATGAATGGGTTTGTTGCTGCCCGTCGTTCGCCATTAAAGACCCCTCGAGAGATGGAAAACCTGTTGGTACTACCTGATGGTCAAATTGTAATTATCTCTCTCTCGTTCTGCATTACATCGCTCTTCTTCCATCGCCCTTGAACACTTCTTCCACACACCACGATCTTCAGCCAGAGAGAGAGAGACGCGCTCTCAAGACATCGCATTCGGAGACTAACGAATTTCGGCGCCAAAAAAAACAGTAGTTCCTCACTTTGGCGCATGAAAAATGAAAGTTATTTTGATGCATTGACCATTACTTTGACAACGAGCTCAGGCATTATCCCAACATTTATCCGTTGGGCGTGAAGATGGAACGGAATTGGGCAACATCTCGACGGCGATTTCTTTATGCAACGCCCTCGGAATTAGATTGAGCACGTGAGAATGAATTTATCGATGATTTCTTCGCTCCATTATCGCATTTTCTTGCACACTATAGCATAATGACTGTTGAAATTTGCGTGAATTGATCTCAGAGGCTATTCACGGCGAAAGAGAACTCCGCACAAAGGCTCACACTTTCTGCAAAGGTGATCCGTCAAGAGGAGATGAAAAGATTGTCGATAAAGGGATAAATTCCAAGGCATGATTCAAATGCTACATTGGAAATAGATAAATTTTTAATAAAACACATTTCTGTAATCGATAGAAGAGTCAAAATAGCGCAGATCAACTGAACAGCTGATCGTGAGATGCTCAAATTTCCTTCTCTTCTGGCCAGGATCACGTCAGGAAGTCATAAAGTGTGAGAATGCGTGAGTTAGGCGAAAAATGCGATATTTTTTTAGCGTCCCCCACGCCAACTTTGCTGCCATCTGCCGGCGATATGTGGAGAATATAATCAAATACTTAGATTTTAATAAATTAACCAGAAAATATTTGAATATAATTTTATTTATTTAAATATTTTGCTCGAAAATATTCAATTTTTGATTGTTTTGCAAATTTACTTGGAAAATAATCTTTTTTTCAGTATTTTAATTCAAAATTTGATTTTTTTCATACAAAGTGAAATTCAATAATTGAATATTTAATTGAGACCACAAAGATTCCTCGAAAATCGCCTTGTTTGTCAGTTATTATTGTAGAAATTCAATTGCCCTGAATATTTATGCGATATTCAGCGTTTCGCAGAATCTAGTTTCCCAAAGAAAAGGCAGATGGAATGGCTATCAGTGTCCTTTTAACATTTCACGTATGAAAATCCAGTTTTCACGCCGCAAAATCACAGCAATTTCCTCGGCAATTGGATTTGACGGTGATCTAGTTGATCTGCTCCCGAAGGGAATTTGTATTGAAGTCATGCAATGAGCGTCAATCTAATCGCACTTGATTAAAAAGCGATTAACTCGCGATCTGATCGATAATTTCGAATTGATCTCTATGGCGAGAGGCAATAAATATGGTGTTGAGTGAAAAGGCACGTTCACGTGCAATTTAATACGATTTTCAATCACTGGCCAATGTGAAAGTAACACGCGTCGTGAACTGGATGTTTTTACACAATCTTTCGCGCTAGAATTGCGCAAAAATTCACGAGATGGAAAACTGTATTCTGCGCCAACAATGCAATATCTGGC